AGAGAGAGAGAGAGAGAGAGAGAGAGCGCTCCCATTTGCCAGTACACAATGGCCAGGACTGGGCCAGATTGAGTTCAAGAGTCCAGGACTCCATCCAATTTTCCCAGGTGGGTACAAGGGAACCCGTGACTTCAGCCCTCCCTGCCGCATATCACCATGTGCAGGAGTTTGAGCTGGACAAGGAGTTACGCTGAGATTTAAACCCAGGTTCTCACATATGGAGCAAAGGGGTCCCAGAGACAGCGTAACTGCTAGGACAATGACTCCCCCAGTACGTATGGTTTGGATGCTAGGGGATGGCAGGTGGAGGCAGGGAGTCCCGGGCAGTCTCAGGATGGGGCTTTGTGCTCGGGGAACAGCCGTGTGGTTCGGAGGTTGGAACTTTCTGCCTCTTTCCAAGAGCGGGCAGGGTTGGGAGTAGGGAGGTGAGGGCTGAGGTCCCCATCAGTGCCAATGACCTGGTCATCATGCTGCCCGAGGAAGCCTCCATGGAGAGCCTGGAGAACCTGCTGGACACAGGAGGCGCTGGGAGGGTGGTGCTCCCCGGGGAGGGCAGAAGGCCCGCGCCTCTCCCCTCTGCAGGCTCGGCTGTGGACGCGTCTTTCTCTGGAGTGATTGTCATCATAAACTGGACAGGTAAGTGCTGCCCTGTGTTCTGTGAGCCCTTCTCACACAGGATTGACCTGAGGCGGGGAGGGCACGGGGACGCTGAGTATGGAGCCGGGTGGTCAGAAGCACAGGTCATTGCAGGACACCTCCCTGGGGGTGGGAGGCTTGGACAGACCTAGTTCCCCCACCTTCTTCCTTGTGGTTCTCCAGGACAACTTCAGAATGTGCTGGGAGTCCAGTGTCACGAGCTGGGAGGGCAGCCTTAGACCCGGGCTGGGGTTTGTCCGAAAATGATCAACCCAATGTGTCCTGATGTCCCAGGGTCCACACCCAGCAGAGCCTGCATTCTGGGTCCCTCACAGTGGTGCAAGTGGAGTTTGTGCCCGTGAGACTGCATTGCCCTGGGCAGCTGTCCACAGCCTTGGTTGACGGGCTCACACTAGATCCTGGGCTCTGCTGTCCCGGGCGGGCCTTGTAGGTGATCAGCAGCTGCATGTACCTCACTGCACGTGAGTGTGCGCCGTCTCCCCAGACACAGACAAGTTGGTGTGCAGCACAACGTGAACCTGCTCAACGGTGACCCCCCCCCCCCCCCCGGGCCCTGCTGCTGGCATCGGGAGTGAGGGGCAGTCTGGGGACATCTGACGCCATCTCCAGGCAGATAGGGGAGGTGTCAGGTTGTAGGACCTTCTGTTGGTGTCCACTGGGAACACTGCTGCCTGGGGAAAGAACCCTGACCCTGCTGTCAGTGTGGTGAGGAGAGTGAGTATGAGGATTCGGGGCAAACAGTGGATTTTCCTTGCTCAGGAATCTTAGAGCAGCCCAGGAGGGAGGCACAGGATGGACCTTTTGCAGAGCAGAGCTGGGTAGGAGGAGTTTCCCAAGGCCTTCTTGGGTGCCAGGAGCAAGATGAATTCATTGTTGGTGTCTGGGGAGGCCCCCGGGCCAGCGTCACTTGATCTTGTTGGACAGAGGACTAAGATGTGGGAGCTTTCCCCCAAACAGCCCCAAGTGACTAGGAGCCCAGTCTGAGAGAGCCAAGAGGTCCCTCTCAAAGCTGTCAGCACAGGCCAGCACCACTGCAGAGCAGGTGTGGCTGTACAGCACTGCCCACAGGAGGGCAGCAGAGACCTGTCAGTCACAGGGGCTTCCCTGCTAAAAATCAAGCCTCTGAATTTAGTGCTCTGGACAACCTAGATGAGCAAGCCCAAACAGTGTCCTGGGTCGGGGGAGTGGGGCCTTGTGTTAAGGTGACTCCTGGGGAGTCTGCGTCTCATGTCAGGATGTAAGTTCCAGGCCTGGCCACTCTGCTCCAATCCAGCTTCCTGCCAAAGAGCCTGGGAGACAGCAGCTGACAGCCTTGGCGAGGGCCCCTGCACCCTTGTGGGAGAGCTGGACAAGTTCCCAGATCCTGGCTCTGCCTGGTCCAGCTCTGTCTGCCTTTGGGGATGAGGCAGCACATGGAATCTCTCTCTGTCTCTCCTTCTCTATCACATTGCATCTCATTAATCAGTCAATGAATTCTCCAATGGAGAATCTGTCGCTGCCTCTCCCAGCTGCTGGAAGCTGCCACATGCCCTGGCTCTTTGACTTTCAGATCCAACTCTTGGCTCCTGTCAACCCCCTCCCTTTATTATTCCTATGGTTACATCCACCTGATCTCCATTTGTGCGTTGATTTGTGCTAGTTGTTGCTCACTCTTGTCAATTTTGGGTCCACTGTAAACAGCTTCTTGGTGGCTTCACATGTGTCCCCATGTGTCTGGGGAGCGTCTGCCACTACAGATGAACTCTGATGGAGCGAAACCTATCAACGTCTTCCCTGTGCTTGGCTCAGGTGGGGAGCAGGGTCTCATGGAGGCAGTAGAGGCAGGGCTCCCTGGGTGCAGTTTTGCTGCAGGACACAGAACAGCGTCCATTATGATAATGAAGTCACCTGTCCAATGTGGACTTGTGGCTACCCGAGCGTGCCCACAGTGGGTGCGCAGAGGTGAGCAATGTGCTCCACACCTGCCTTGCTCCTGTGGGGATGAGGGAGGTCCGGGCATGTGGGGATCAGCTCACCCCTGAGGGCACCATCTTTCCTGGGGGTGGCCCTAGAATGGCAGTGGGAGACAACAGGGCACTCAGCTCCCACTGCACTCTGGGAGGAGGGACCATCACCAGCCCTGTGGTTACCCTGGGAAGTGGGGAACCAGGAGCTCCTTATACCAACCCCACTCGTGCAGAAACATTTCAAGGTCTTGGCAACTGATGGAGCCATTCAATTTTAGAAAAGATCTCTCTCTCTCTCTCTCTCTCTCTCTCTTTCTCTGTATCTATCTAGACTTGAAAGGCAGAGTGACAGAGGGAAGGGGAGAAAAACTGAGAGATGGAAGAGCTGCTGAGATCCCAGTGTTGGTGGCCCTCTGGGCTCCCCAGAGCTAGAGGTCATTCTAGCTGGGCTCTCTACAGAGTCCCAAGGCTAGAGTGGCCTGCAGAGTAAGAACGGCCGGCAGGGAGGGTCCAGGATGCCTGAACAGGGACAGGCCACACTGACCTCTGCACAGACAGATGCCAGAGACACAAAGGGAGGACCACGTTCCCAGGGACTGACTGAGAGAGATTGTCAGTGGTGAACAAATGGATGGAGCAGACAGAACAGAACACAGACTCCATGGAGCAGTGAGGAGAGAGAACAGACACAGAGCTGCCAGCCACATGCTCCCAGTGCCCATTGTAGGGAGGGGTCCACACATGCAAATCAGTAACACGATATGTCACATGAGCAAAATGGAAGATAAATAAATAAGATTATCTCAATAGATGAGGAGGAAGCATTTGATTAGATAGAGCATTCTGTCATGGTGGACACCATAAAGATTGACTGGCTATAGAAGGAACACACTGCAACACACTCAAGGCAATAGTGAGCAAACACGCAGCCATCATCATATTGAATGGGGAAAAGATGGAAGTATTCCCATTAAGAGCCGGACCCAGAAAAGGGTGCCCAGTTTCACCGTAATTATTCTATATAATTCTAGACGTTTTACTCAGAGCCACTAGGCAAGGAAGAGGAATCAAAGGCATACGAAGTGGGAAGGAGGCGGTCCACCTTGTTGTGGATGGCATGCTCCTTACACACAGGCACAAAAAGACTCCACTGAGAGACTCTGGGAACTCATCAAAGAAGTTGTAAAGTTGCAGGATAGAACATAAAAATCTACAGCATTCTCACATACAGCTCTGGCTGAGAAAGAAATCTCATTAAATATACTCATTAAAAAAAACCCCAAGTACCTTGATATAAATTTCACTAAGAATGGAAATGATCTCTAGAATGTAAATGAAAAATTATTAATGAAAGATATACAAGAACACACCAAAATGGAAAAATCTTTCTTGCTTTTGATTTGGGAAAATTAAACTATCCAAGGGATCACATTACTCAAGGCAATTTGCATATTCCACGTGATCTCAATGAAAATACCAAGGACAAACATCACATATGTAAAAAGAAATCCAAAAATTAATATGCAAGCACAAAGATCCCAAATAGACAAAACAATCTTTAATAACAAAATCAAAGCTGGAGGCATCACAGTACCAGATATCAAAACCTACTGCAGGGCTGTTATAAACTAAACAAACTAGTATTGGCTCAAAAATAGACGTGTAGTCTAATTAAACAGAAGAGAATCCCCAGATAGTAATCCACTCATCTTTGACCAACTCATATTTGACAAAAGACCTAAATTCCTCCAAGAAAGGACACTTTTTCAGACGACATTGGGAATATTGGGTTTCTACCTGCAGAAGTTTGAAACAAGACTCGTATCTTGCACCCTGTACAAAAGTCGACTCACAGTGGATCCATGATCTAAGCCTAAGACCTGAAACCCTGAAATTCCTGAAGGAAAAGATAGGGGAAACACTGCAGGACATGGGTCTGGGCAAAGACTACTTGGAGAAGACCCCAGAAGCACAGGAAAGCAAAGTGAACATGGGATTACCCTGAGCTAAGAAGTTTCTGCACAGCAAAGGAAACAACCAGCAAAGTGAAGAAGAAACCAACGACACGGGAGAAAATATTTACAAACTACGCATCCGATGAAGGGTTAACACCCAGAGTATATAAGGAACAGGAGAAACTCATCAAGGACAAAACAAGGAACCCAGTTAGGAAGTGGGCTCACTGCGGGAACTTTATTCAAACTTATGAGGCTTAAAGGCTGTTCTATAGAGAGCAGGGTTCAGTCTCAGGGCCAGACAGGGGCCAGAGGCACAGGTGCACCTGGCTCCAGAACACCTGTCCTGGGCCTGCCCTCCTGACCAGAGCTGTGGAGACAGCACAGGACCCACCTCCAAGGGATCTGGCAGTTGAGGGGACGAGGCCCTGCTGACCCGGGAGGGTGGCATTGTGACACTGCTGGTGGAACCCCGTGATGTCAGCATTCCTGGAATCCTCCTGCGTGGGTGGTGGCAGTTAGAGGCTGCTCGTGTCTGTGAGGGACTGACTCGTGTGCTTTCCTAGACTGGAGCAGACTCGGCAGAGGAGGACGGATTTGGGACAGAGGTGAGAGGGCCAGTATCTGTGGAGGGACAGTGGCTCCCGGATGAGTGACGCCAGCTGAGCACGGGCGTTGCCTGCTGTGTGCTGACTGCGGTTACTGTGGTCCCTGTCAGTGCTCCCATGATGGAGTGGGGTGGCTGTGAGGATGCCCTTAGTGTGGGTCTGTGCCAGCCCAGGTGTCCCCAGGGTGGGCATCCAGGTCAGCACTGAGCTCCGCACAGGGCACAGGTACCTGTTGTGGGCTCGTCAGAGACTTGGGGCTCTGAACTGGGAGCCAGAGGAGACCTTCTGTTCTAGGGGTGTGTTTGGGCACAGTGGAGGGCAGCCCACACCACACGGGAGAGAAGGCTCCTTTAGTCAGTCTGGGGCAGAAGTCAGGGGCACCCCCTTCTCCCTCGTGTGTCATCCATGTCCACGACCTCTGGACTGACACCCTCCTGGTTCCTGAGAGTCAGGTGCCACCTGCCTGGCGGTGGCTCAGATCGGATGGACTTGAGTCCCAGGGAGGGGTGGTAGGAAGCAGCTCCCTGTGGTGCTTCTGGGCTCTGTCCTGTTTACAGTGTGTTCTTGCAGCTCAGACATGGAGGCTCTGGAGTTGCTGGAGGCCCGGCAGCGAGCCGTGACCATCACCAAGTATGAGCAGGTACAGGCCAGGCAGCTGCCATGGAGGAAGGGCCCTAGGACCTCGGCCGTGTCCATGGCAACAGCGGACTGGGCTGCCAAGGGCCATGGAGGGGTTGGGGCCCTCCCGCTCTCCCCAGCCCATGTACCCCTGGCTTCTCACCTGGGTGCCCTTCTGGCTGCAGGGTCGCCGAGGAGGGGTGCTGGTGATGCCTTGGGAGGAGGAGGACGAGGCCACCCGCCCATTCCCGGATCAGCTGGGCATCCTGCAGTGAGTCGGCACACCGCATGGCCACTCAGGGCAGCTTCTGTTCTCAGAGTGCCTGCTCTGGAGGCAGGGACCTGTCTCTACAGCCTGGGCTCTCCTTGTGTGATAGGGGCCTCAGGAGACACTGGGCAGGACAGGGCTGCCCGGGAGCTGGGAGGGGAGGAGCCCTGTCACTGGCAGAGAGGGTGTGGGCACAGGATGAGAGACCGGGGCTGCAGGGGCTCGGGGCCCCCGGAGAGCAGCCTCCTTGGCAGGGTCCGAGGGGCAGCTGGGCTGAGGGCCGAGCCCCTGGCTGGGGTCCTGAGGAAGGGACTGCGCAGGGAGGGTTCTCAGCAAAGGCGCTCTGGCCTGAGTCTGAGCCGGGGAGCTGGGGACAGGGGAGGAGGTACTAGGCCTTCATCCTGTGCCCCAGGTGTCCTGGGACATGGAAGAGGGTGAGTTTGTGTTGCGGCCTGAGCAGCTGAGATCAGGAGAGGCAGGTGGCAGAGGCCAAGCCCACGGCCGGGTAGGGTGTCGAGGAGTAGGCACCATGACAGCCCTGCCAGCACTGGGCAGATTTCAGGGCAGGTGGTGGGCTGGTTGGTGGTTCTGCCATTTCTTGACACTGGCTCCCACGGGTGCCCAGTCCTCCGCTTCCAGGCAGCCTTCCTGTCTCAGGACTGTGGATTCTCAGATCCTGCACAGGGACCGGTCTCTGCCCAGGAGGGAGCTCCCATAGCAGAGCCGCATTGCGATACCCGGGACCTTGCGGGCCCAGTGCTCCCCACATTCCCAGGTCCCATCCTCCAAGGGTGTCCATGGGCAGGACGGCTGCCTTGTGCCTTCTCTTTGAACTCTTGGTCTAAGTCTTGGGGCTTGGGCCTGGGTTGTCCCTTCCCTGGCCTGGCGTGGGCAGTGGAGAGGCTCGGGCCTGGCTCAGGTCCTCACAGCTGTGCCTCCGTTGCCTCCCAGTGAGAAGCAGCTGCCCCGGGACAGCGCCTGGATCACCAAGGTGAAAGCTATCTGTGGAGACCGCAGGGGTGGGGCTGGGAGGATCCGCAGGGCCTGGTGTTTTGGGTGTTGGTGAGGGGCAGAACCCAAAGTCACCCAGAGTCAGGAACTCTAGGGCTACCCCACCACATCCTCCCGCCCTAAAAGGACATGCAGCCACGGGACCCTGCCCACAGCCACGGGACATCTGGAGGGTTGGACAGTGGGGGTGTCCGTCCTCAGTGTGGCTTTTGTGGAGGCGGCCAAGGGTCACAGGTTCTGACCCACTCAGAGGGTCTGGGCCCAGGTCTGGGCCCCCTGTGGGTCCATGCGGTTCAGAGAGGTCAGGCTGGGCGCTGCCTCCGAGGGCCGCTCTCCAAGACCCAGATCTGTGCTGACAACAAAGTCGCTGTCTTCCTGCAGAATCGGCAGAACCGAAGCCTCCAAAAATGGCTGAAAATTCTGAAGAATTGGCAGAATTATCAGAACACTCAGAAGGTGGCTTGGCGGCTGAGGAGCTGTGGGGAACTTCTCTGCCCCTTGGGAGTTCATCACCCCCGTTTGTGGGAGCACTCGGTTTTCTCCAAGTCTGCTGGCTGCCCACGGTCCCTAACTCCAAGGACACAGGCCTTGGCTCAGCCTCCTGTCTCCCATTCAAGGTCCCCGCTGGGAGACAACTGATGGCAGGATTGGCCACGCCCCGGCCCAGGGAAGGGAGGCCATGGCTGAGATCCATGTTCCCTAAGCCCAGACCACCTCTGTCCCTGGGGATTGACCTGAGCCCTCCCAGGACAGCAGGCACCCAGGCTGCCATCCTGCTGCAGCCTCTGCCCCCAGCCTGCCCAGGGTGCCCTGTGCCTGGCTCACCAGAGCCCCTCCTTCCTGCAGCTGCGCCGCCGGATTTACAAGGGCGTCCCTGCCCAGGTGCGGGGGAAGGTGTGGGGCCTGCTCCTCGGGGTGGACGCGGTGAAGGCGGAGAACCCCGGGACCTATCAGGTAGGGCGATAGCTTGGGGCCAGAAATGTCACTCCCTGGCCAGGTGGGTCCAGAGCTCAGTGCATGGTTGGCATAGCCTGGAATGGGAAGAGGCCTCCTTTGGGCACTGTGTGCTCCTGTTACTCTCTGGATGGTCCCTCTGGCCTTGTTCAGCATTGTCCACTTGTGACTGCCCCTGCCCCGTCACCATGTCCTGGCAGTGTCCCCATTGGGAGGTTGTATGCAGCTTGTCCTGGGCGGGCCCATGGCTTACACTGGTCCCCTGGAGCACAGAACCTCATGCCTGCCCATCAGCTGAGGGTGGTCCTCAGGGGACCCCTCGGCAGGGCTCTGGATCTCATGGGTGACACGGGCACCATGGTCAGCTGACACCAGGGACCTCCCTGGTCAAGGACTCAGGGACCTGAGCCTCCTGGTCCACAAACTCTCCTTCGGCCCCTGCTGGACCCTGGGGTCTGTGGGCACTGGGGTGGTGGAGGCGGGGCTCTGTGCTGAGGCTGGTCCCGCCCTCCTCCCGCCCTCCAGAAGCTGAAGGCCCAGGGCCGACTGTGGTCACAGTGGGTGCAGCATATCGATGTGGCCGTGAGCAAGACCTTCAGGGGACACGTCATGTTCCGGGAGCGATTCGGAGTCAAGTGAGGCCATGGGCAGTTTGTGACTGAGGTGGGATTCTGTGGGAACCAGTGCCGTGGAGAATTGGGAGTTTCCTAGGTGAGAAGTGTGGCGCTAGCACAAGTGTGGGGTTCCTGGAAGTTTTGGGGCCCACAGTAGGTGCTGAGGCTGCCCCGTGAAGGATCAGCCAGCACCGGGCCTTGAGCAGCTGCTGGGTGCCAGGTGCTGGTTGGGACCTGGGCAGGTGGGGCCATAACACAGGAAGCTCCAGAGGACAGGGACAGCAGCAGAAACAGCCCAGGGACAGGAGCCAGGACCCTGGAGGCCAGAGTGGCCTGGGCCGGGACCAGCCCCTGAGTTCCACCGCAGGCCAATTGCTGAGGGTGACCTGGAGCTGGCTGTGGGCGTGTGGGGTGGGTGGGGAGGAAGGAGCCCTGGGCTGTGACCAGGGTGAGAGGTGTGCACGGTGCTGGCTGGGGTGCAGAGAAGGGGTGGGGACGCAGAGCTGAGCTCACGGCCTTCAGGAACCTCCCCAACCCTCCCTCCTCTCGTCCCCAGGCAGCAGGCCCTGTTTCACCTGCTCTTGGCCTACTCCGTTTATGACCCTGTGAGTATCTGCAAGGTGTAATCAGGGGGCTGGGGGTGAGGGGGCTGTGTGATGTCAGCTGGGCCTGCAAGGGGTGGGGCGCAGAGACTGCTGCCCTGGGGTGCCCAGTTCTGGGAGCAAGAACTGACACGGGTCAGCCAGGCGGTGCGGCTCCATGGTGACTTTGGGCTCTTGCAGGAGGTGGGCTACAGCCCGGGCCTGAACCAGGTGGCCGCCCTGCTCCTCATCTTCTTAGACGAAGAAGATGCCTTCTGGGCCCTGGCGCAGCTCATGGCCAACGACAGGCATGCAATGCAGGGTAGGTGCTGGCTGGACCAGCCCCCAGCAGCCAGGCTGCGAGCTGCCACCACGGCCGGCTCACCAGCTGCCCCCACATCTGGGTGTCCACAACAATCTCCCTTTGGAGAGTCTGAATGTGGGGCTGAGGGCCCCCCACACAGCCTGACACCCTGGGTCTCCCCATCAGCCGGGCCCCACAGCCTCTCCATGGCTGCCTCTGCATCACGCACCCCAGCCCTTGGGTGCGTCCTGGTCCAGGTGCCTGCTGGTCATGCTGCTTTGCGCCATGGCCGCCCCGAACCCTCACTCAAAACAGCTGGAGGATGCCCAGACGGTGGCCTCCCTTACGGGGTCCGCTCGACCTAATCCTTGTACCCAAGATCCGACCAGGCCCCCACCAGCTGCTCACCCATTATTCTGGTTGAATTCTGTTCAGTCCGGTCTGGACCCCAGGGCCACCCACCTGTAGCCTTCTTCCACCTTCATCCTGTCCCCCCACAGAGGGGATTCTACTGCCCACGCCAGAGCCTTCACATGCCCCCACCCAGCCTGCACCCTCTATGCCGCCCCCTGACAGCCCCAGTGCTGCCTGCAGGCTCTGATTCCCCGAGGGGGGTCTGGGCCTCTCAGGGTTCTATAAAGCCGGGCAGCCCAAGCTGGCGCGTCTGCAGCAGCATCACGAGACCATCCTGAAGCTGGCGCTCCCCACACTCAAGAGCCACCTGGTGAGTGGTGTGGCCCCTGGCACCTGCAAGGGGGGGCTCTGGAGCAGGGTCTGAGCTGTCCCTGGCACGGGGGTGGAGCCAAGGCCTGACCAGGGGCTGTCTTGGTGGGAGGGGTCTGCAGCGGGCTCTGCAGGGAGGACTCATTGTCCTTTTCCTGCTCACACCGAGCATCCCGGGGCACAGTCACCAGGGGCCAGCAGGTGTCGCCTGTGCCCACACACCCAGCACTGCGCTGGTTGAAGAGCCGCCCCTCCATTGGAGTATCGTCTCTGGGCAGGACTCGGACAGGCCCTGAGCCCCTCTCTCCCTTCCTGTAGGACAGCCAGGGTGTGGCCACCAGGACCTATATTCCCAAGTGGTTCAAAGGCTGCTTCACTGATGGGGTAAGATGCCCAGGGACACCTGCACCTGGGAAGCTGTGCCCACAGGGCCGGATGGAGGCCAGTGGTCATGCTGCCAGTCCTCCTCACCCCTTCTCCCCAGTGCACTGCGTCCCTGAGGGACGTGCAGCCCCCTGGCAGGTGCCCCACATCCCCACTGGGACAAGTCCAGCCCTTGAGCAGTGGCAGGACCTCAACTGGGGCAGCCTCACCGGGGTCTCACCCTGGGCAGGGGTACCTGTGCTGCCCTCTGCTCCCTGCTCAGCCTGCACGGCCGCATCCTCACACCCCTGCTGCCCCCACAGAGTCCCTTCCCAGTGACCCTCAGGTTCTGGGACATTTACATTCTGGAGGGCGAGCCCGTGCTGACGGCCATGTCCTACGTGGCTCTCAAGATCCACAAGAGTGAGTCCCCTGGGGCCATGGAGGGTGGGGTGCTGGGCTGGGGGGTGGGGGATCCTGCTCAGCCCCTGGAGCATGGACTGCGGGAGAGCAGGAGTGGCTGCCTGGGTCCCGTGCTTGAACCTGGTGTTAGTGTACCCCAGGAATGCCCTTGCAAGGCCCTGCCCCTTGGCTGGGTGGACAGGGTACCTCACATGTGAGTCTCAGCCTTACCCCAGGTGGGGACTTTGCAGATCCAGTGGCTACCTGGGTGTGTGGACAGGGAGTGGAGAGTCCGTGGGTGCTGTTCCTGCCCTGGGTGCCTCCAAGCCAGACACCCCCACTGCCCCCCACCCCATGTAGGCCGCCTCCTGCAGCTGTCCCAGGACACCCTCAGTGCGTTCCTCCAGGACCAGCTGAGCCAGGCCTGGACCCTGGACGAGCATGTCGTGGGGAGGCAGCTCCAGGCCTCCCAGTCGAAGCTCCGCAAGCTCCGCTGCCTGCTGCCTCCTCCAGGTGGGCCCCCGTGCATGCTCCCCATCCCCCCTGGGGAGTCAGGAGTAGGCGCGCCAGGTACCCAGGACCTGCCCTGGCCATTCCTCCTGCATGTCATTTGCTCCAAGCGGCTTTCACACATCCTGGCCAATGGAGGTGGGTGCCTAAACCTGGGTGTCCGAATACCTGGCAGGCGTGTCCCTGTCATTGCCACAGCAGCCCCCGTGGTGTGTATCAGGGCTCTTAGGTGACAGGTGGGTCAGGTGACAGAATGACCTCATGGGAGTTTGTTGAGACCCAGGTTTCTGGGATGACCGTGTCAGACATGGAGCCCAGAGCCAGCCCTGCCATGGGGTCCATACTGGCATACTCTGGCCCCCTCACAGTTCCTCACACCCAGGTGCCCACACCTTTCCCTGGGCAGCAGCAGCCAGGTGTCCTCAGGACCAGGCCAGGGGGCCAGGCAGTACCTTGAGGGCCCCAGGTCCCCAGCTCCAGCCCAGCCCGGGCATCACTGGCCTCTGCGAGAAGCCGACCGCTTCTCCTTGTCTTTCAGCACTGCCAGAGGAGCTGCCCAATGGTCCCCTTGGCCGGATGCTGGAGGCTGCGGAGCCAGGGCCGCTCCCCACACCAGGGAGGCCCGAGGTACTGGGTTCTGATGCTGAAGTGGATCTCCCTGCTGATCCCACCCTGCCCCAGGATCTCCGGGGCTCAGCACCCTGCTGCCAGGCCGTGGGACGAGTCGAGTGCTTCATCCCTGAGGCCACGTGGGAACCGGAGACATGGAAGACACAGGAGGCCTCCCCAGAGCCTGGGGTCCCAGGCCTCCTGCAAGGGTCCCTGGAGTGTCTGGGTGCCACCTCTGTCACTCCCACCGCCCACAACCCTGGGAAGCAGCAGAGCCTGTCAGCACCGGCGTCCCTGCCTGACCTGGTGGAGTACATGCTGGCTGCAGACCGCTGGCCCCCACAGCGCCACATCCTCCAGGCACTCTTAGATCCCGGGAAGCCCACCACGGCCTCCCTGGGAATCCGAGGACAGGCCCAGCCCTGTGGGTCCACGGAGCCTCCCTGCCCTCCCCCGACGAAGGTGCTAGAAGTTTCCATGCTGGAAGACTGGGAACATGAAGAGGACTCCCCCGACGCCTGGGCCTCCAGCCTCTCCCTGGGCTCCTCTGAGTTCTCCCGCCCTGCGCAGCGAGCAGGGGACCAGTAAGGGCTGTCGGGCTGGGGCTCCCTCCCTGACCTGGTGGTCTACATGCTGGCCGCAGACCGCTGGCCTCCGGATAGCGACATCCTGCAGGCACTCTTAGACCCCTGCAAGGCCACTCTGGTTCCCCTCTGGACCAAGGGCCTGGGGGAGCCCCAAGACACTGTCTCCACTCCAGGGTGCCGTGGTGCAGAAACCTCCTGCTGCGGGCCCTTCTCGAGCGATGAGGAGTGGGGTGACGAGGAGGGCTCCCTGGAGCCCTGGGAGCCAGACCTGTCCCTTGGGGCATCAGAGCCTCTGTGCTCAGCCCACATGTCAGGGGATGACCTCAGCAGGGCACAAGGAGCTGGCTTTCCTAAGCCTTGGGAGTCCTTGCCAGCTGGAGACCCTGGAACCCCAGAGAACAAAACCAAGTAGAACTGTGAGCCCCGCCCCTCTGCCCTTGCCCCTGTTACTCCAGCCCCATCTGTGTCCCCCAGAACTTGAGACAGGCCTGAGGACCCCTGCCCTGTGGCCCCTGCAGACCATGCACTCAGGCAGTGGTGGGCAGAGCATCCCTAGGGCTAGGCCCCTGGTGGGTTCATGGCCCCGAGTGCTGGCAGAGCCTGGTGGCTCCTCCATGGTGAGGCTGGCATGCTTAGACCACTGCAGGGAAATATGGGACCACCTCACCACCCTGCAAGTTAATGGACCCTGCCTACACCCTGACCCCCTTATTGACAAGGGTCCTTTATAGCACGGGTCCCTGACACTTAGTAGCCTCCTCTGACCTCTTCTGTTCTCCAAAGTCAGGCTCCCAGGAATGCTTTGTGTTCCCGCAGTAGCCGAGGTTAGGACGAGTCCATCCTGTCCATGGTTGCTGTCCTCTGAGCCGGGCTTGCATCCAGCACCCATCCCTCCTCTTAGAACATTCTCTTACTCCCTGGGGTCTGGGCATGCACTTGAATCACCAATTTGGTGGCCAGGGGAGGCAGCGAGAGTGTGCGGGCAACACATTGTGGAGATGGCTAAACCAGAGCTGCTGGTTTCCCTCAAACTCATAGGAATGCCCCAGGGTTCCCCCTGCCCCTTGCTGATGGAAATAGAATAAAGAGTTTGTTTCTGAAGGGTTTGGTCCATTCTTGTGGCCCCCAAAGACTGTCTGCAGAGGCTCCCAATGGACTCGTGCAAGGCAACAGATACTGCAGTCCCCAATCTCAGCCAGAGGCCTGTTTCCCGGCCATCCAGTGACTCCTGAGGGTCCCAATGTCACATGGCCTTCGACACTGTGCAAGCATTGTGTGAAGTGTGAGTCACCTCATGCCCCCACCTGGGCTGGTGAGGTCCAGCTTTCCTTCCCCTCCGTGGGTTCGTCTTCTCTCTGCCTTTCTTCCCCCTCCTCCATGAATCCAGTCCTCCAGACCTCCTGAAACTGGGACTGGCCCCAGAGACCAGGGACAGCAGGTCAGTCACCTGAGATAGTCAGTGGGAAGTGGTGGCCTCTCTGTGTAGCCGTGGGCATTGACCCTGGGGGCTATGTGCAGACACTTGCAACCCAGTCAGGCAGGCACACTCCTGTCGGGGTCAGCCTCCGTTCTTCTGTAGTCTCATGTGGGGCACTGGCATCCTAACCAGCAACACTGCATTGAGGAGTGAGCAGGCGGCTCATGGTCTTGTTGGATGTTCACCGAGGACTTGTTGGCAGCAGCGAGCACGTGAAGCCCTGCTGGGTCCCCGTCCCTGCCTCCTTCGGGTGTAGACATGGAAACACACCTGTGGATATGGACGGGAATACAGATATACATGTGTATACAGACACAGATATACAGAGATGGAGATACATATTAGATACAGAAATGGATACAGATACACAGGTAGACAAAGGTGTATATAGAGATTCAGGTTAGATAGAGATACAGATACACATGTGGATACAGCCACAGCCACAGCTACAGCTACAGGTACAGAGGTTTATCTTCCTTCCTGTGATGCTTTCAGAAGACCCAGTGGTGGTCATAGACCCCAGAGAACAATTCCTTCATCAAGGAATCTCTTTCATAACCAAAGAGCTGATGCAGGAGTCTCATGGCCATGGGGTTCAATGGTTCCACTTCTCATTCAATCACCTGGAAGTAGCTGCTCTGATGGGAGGGTTGGATGGACGTTCAAACCTCTCACTGGGGCTGGAGCCACCGCTACACTGCCTGCATCCCTAATGGACCCCAGTTCGAATCCCAGCTATTCAACTTCCCATCCAGCTCTCTGCTGTGTCCTGGGAAAGCAGTACAAGACGGAACAAGTCCTTAGGCCCCTGCAACCTGTGGGAGACCAGGAAGAAGCTCTGGCTCCTAGCCCCGATCTGCACAATTCCAGGTATTGGGGCCATCTGGAGAGTGAACCAGCAGATGGAAAACTTCGCTCTTTCTTTCTCTTTCTCTTTCTCTCTGTGCCTCTCTCTAACTCTGCATTTCAAACAAATACATATATCTTTAAAAACATAAACCAAAAATCTTCCTGCCCACATCAACTGTGGGACTACAGCTGGGGGTTGGGCTGCCTTTCACAGGCTGTGAGAGAATCTTTAATCGGGGATCCATCGATGGCACTCTTTCCCCAAAGCCAGAGTGCAAAGGTATGATAGTCAAATTTGACAGAGGGACTGGCTACTCTCACTAACTTTTTGGTTTTTGTTTTTAAGGCAAAGTTACACAGAGAGAGGGAGAGGCATAGACGGTGAGAGAGACCGACAGAACTTCCATACTTTGGTTACTACCCAAATGGCCACAACACATAGGACTGGGCCAGGGCAAAGCCAGGAGCCAGGAGTTTCATCAGGTCTCCTGTGTGGGTGGCAGGAGTGCAAGCACTTGGGCCTCTTCCATTGCTATCCCAGGTCATCACAGGGAGCTGGATCAGAAGTGGAGCAGCCAGACACAGATAAACATTTGGGATGCCAGGATCGCAGGCAGTGGCCTTACCCACTACACCACAACGCTGGCCCCTCCTCTCCCTGCCACACTCAGGGACACAGTAAGTTTGTTGAGGCACCTCCTGCTCCTTCCAGTGTGGCAGTGAGAGCTATCAGAAAACAAACATACAGCAGCACCCTCCTGAGGACCCAGGTCTTCCATGCTGAACCTTGGGGCATTTCACTTGCGCAGCTTCCTAAGCAGCCGAGCTCCTGTCTCAGGGCAAAGAAAACAGTAGACAAGAAAAAACACCCGTGTCCAAAACAAAATACCTGGAAAAATGGTGATGGGATGATCTCCCTCCCCACCCACTCTGCGTGTGTGTGTGTGTGTGTGTGTGTGTGTGTTTCTGTCTGTCTGTCTGTCTGTCTCTGCCTTTCAAGCACAAAATTGTAGTCAAAATTTTTGTATGGGTAAAGGACTTGAGTAAACATTTGTTCAAAGAAAAAACACAATGGACAGCAAACATGCTGGTGTCCCCCTCTCTCTTCATGATGTTTTGGTTCTTTTATTTGAAAGGCAGAGGCAGTGAGAGATAGGAGAGGACAGATGGAGAGAGATCTTCATCAGCTGGATCAGTCCCCGAGTACCCACAGAGCTGGGCATGGCATAGAAGCCCACAAGGCCCGCCGTGTTTACAGCAAGGGTGGCAGGGACCCACGTGTGTGAACCATCCCTTCCTTGGTAGCCCATCCTCGGGAAGCAGGATTGGAAACAAGCAGCTAGGACTTGAACCCCAGGCACTCCAATATGGGACGTGGGCATCGGCAGCATCGGAATAGTTTGTCAGTCACCAGCCCCATTCATTTACAGAAGCACTCCACACTGATGATTCATACATGTAACTCTGGAAGACAGGAGCAGAATGCCCTTTGCCTATTGTAAATTTTTGGTGGTCCAGCATTTACAGGTTTATGTCCAATTCTACCTAATACCTCAAGGGCCCTGTCTCCTGGACGCTGGTAGTCCAGCAAACATGTCAACAAAAATGTAGCCACTTTCCTATTGATGGTGGCTCACTATTTACCCCTCACTCTCTTGGATGATGGACCAACCTCCAGAGGTTCAAGATAAAGACACTGATGTGGTCCCTCAAGAACATTCATTCGCCCCACTGATTTCACAAGTACACTTCTTCCCCTGGCCTCTGCCTCTCTCCACCAGAACAATCTCCAGCCTCCACAATCAGATGCCTCTTCGACCTGCAAATGCCTGCAGAGAACTCCATTCTTGGCTCCTTTAGTATGATGAGAATGGCTGTTTTTTTTATTTTTATTTTATTTTATTTTATTTTTTTGACAGGCAGAGTGGACAGTGAGCGAAAGATACAGAGAGAAAGGTCTTCCTTTGCCATTGGTTCACCCTCCATTGGCCTCCGAGGCCGGCGAGGGACAGCCGGCGCACCGCGCTGATCCAAAGGCAGGAGCCAGGTGCTTCTCCTGGTCTCCCATGGGGTGCAGGGCCCAAGGACTTGGGCCATCCTCCACTGCACTCCCTGGCCACAGCAGAGAGCTGGCCTGGAAGAGGGGCTACCGGGACAGAATCCGGCGCCCCAACCGGGACTAGAACCCGGTGTGCCGGCGCCGCAAGGCGGAGGATTAGCCTAGTGAGCCGCGGCGCCGGCCGAATGGCTTGTTTTTTTAGAATCTTGATGCTGACTGGGTCTTCCACTTCCCACTCCATGTGTTCTGCCTAGGGTGACTTCTCCAACACCTGTTTGGTCAGTAGTTCTGTCCAGAAAGTCACTTCCTTGTCTTTCAGCTTCTGGGCTGCATGTGTGATGGCACCAATCTTCAGATACCCTTCCTTCTGGTCATATCCTGGCCAATGGGGCAGCCCCTCCCCATTGGGGTTCCTGGGAACAGAAAAAAATAGAAATTTCTTTAAGCTGCTCTGCAGTGCTAAAACCCCTCTGAGGCATTCAGGGGGCCCCTCACTCTCACATCTGCGAGACATGAGGAGCTCACCATCGTTGAATGCCTAACGTTTTGGAGTTATTCCCTTGTAACAGAGTCAGGAATCTGATCACCCAAACCTTAGACACTACCCCTCTCAATAGGTATGAGCTTCCAACCCTCCCACCCTGCTCCATCTTGGTCACCAGCCTCACCCTTTCCGAGCAAAGTTGGCCCAGAATTTCATCACCATTTGGCTGAGCTGGGTCTCCTCTTCTGAAGCACCCCCTGGGGACATCAAAGACAAGTCTTTGCTATTGAACATGTAGTCCATGAGCCAGCAGCATCCACACCACTTGGGAGCTTGTTAAAAATATACTCTTAGCCCTTATTCCACACCTAGTGAGCAAATACCTGTATTTTAGCAAGATCTTCATTTATAGGTCTGAACTTTGAGAATCACTGTCTGAGCACTCATCAATGAGCATGTAGCCAAACTATCTCCTTCAGTGTTCTGTGCCCACCTGCCCAACTTACCCCCAGGGTGGCAATGTCATACCCTAGTGTTTCTTCCTCAGCAAAAGAGTGGGGAAACTTCTGTCTGCCCAGTGCCATTTGGATATTTTTAACATCATTTGTGGACAGCACAATTATCAACTTGGAAGCTAGCCTGCTAGAGATTTATCGAATTCCTAGTTCTTCCTGTGGTTGCTTGGCAGAGCCAGACCTAATGATTTCCTCAGATTATAGAGCACACAGGCTGGTCGTTCCCCACCCCTGTTCTCCAGCAACTCATCCTTATGGGTTGCTCCTTCTTGGGGCTTTTGTCCCAGTCAATGTGGATATTGTATAAAGTGTATATATCTTACCCACTCATGTTTTCACAGTCTGAAAAATGGCAGAGTTGCAACCACCCTAAATAATCTCCCTATTGGGTGATGCCCAAGGACCTTGTGTACCACAAGCAGCTGTATGGTAGGTTGCAGGTGATGGACAATTGCTGAGAGTTAAGATATGAAAGGCATCTGTAAAAACCTTTCTTTGAGATATTTTATGATTAAATATATTCTAGATGAACATATGAACTTGAGATAGAAGTAGATAGATCCTAGGTAGACAGATGCCAGGTATATTAGATGCTAGATAGACAGATGCCAGTTAGATGATTAGATGACAGGTATGTAGATGATATGTAGTTAGAAAGAAGCTCAGAGATAGTAAAGCTGATTGAGGTCAGACTGGAATTTGGGCCAGATATTGGGAGAATGAATGAATGGATGAATGGATGGATAATACACAGAAATAAAGACCAACGAATACACATTGGACAGAATGCAAAATTAACCCCAGTTCTCACCATCTCTCACTCACACTCACATTCTGATACTCTTGGGAGTTGGAAGTCAAGTGGACGTGTTTTCACTGTGCAGCAGGGACCCACAGGAGAGCCACCTCCTGTCATATTGGTGTGGCAGCAGGATTCTGAGGGTGAGGATGGCTTCTTCATGTTAGACCAGGGAAGACGGAGAGACTTGCCCAAGGCCCCAAACCAAGCCTGGGACCCAGCTTTCCTAACTCCATACTCATAGCGAGCAAAGAGCTGTTACCTTTTAAAAAGGGAAACCCAAAGACAGAGTAAACCTCATCGCCATGGTCTGCTATCACTGTCTTGGGCTTCATGTCCGATGAGAAGCTGGGGCGGTACTGAAACTCATACATGTAGGTGGGGGCTCCGGCATCTGGAAGACACAGTTCATGTTGGCAGACACACACCTGGATGGTATCCAGGTCTCTAGCTTTCAGGAAACTTTGGATTATAAACAGTGCAGCCACATCAAAGTGTGGCCCTACAGTAAGTCCTTGGTTATTAGCATAGTACAGAAACTGAAGGTCAGGGAAACACTTGGACTGCCCAGCTGGTTGAGCAGAAACTGGGATTTGAACCCGAATTCATTGAATGAATGAATATTGAAAGAATGAATGTTGAGATCCTGGTTTTATCCTTTAAATAAATATCATTAAAGGGACACTGTGTGAGTTCTCATAAACCCCTCTCACTCAGGATGAATACATAAACCTGAAACTCTACATTCATCCAGGTTACGCCGGGTGTGTTTCATTGATAAACTGGTGTTCATGCATTTTGAGAATATCTACAACCTCACTGGTGCCTTCTCTGGGGCTGCCGCTGAGACTTTTCAGTATTTTTCTCATGCATTCAGAAAGGAGTGAAGCAATGCTCACTGCTGATCTGAACACTAAGATCTGTAAATGCAGATCTAGGCAGAGGGGAACAACCTGTCTCCTGTACCTCAGGAGCCACAGACTGGACTCTTCCTACTTCTGTCACCTCACAGAGTGGCAGAAAAGAGAAGGGGCCAGAGAAGCTGCACTGTCTCTCTCCTGACCCCTCTCCTCTTATTCTCTGCTTCCCTCTCTTACCACCCAATCCCTCTGTCCACATCCACAGAAGTCAGTTGCCCTGTTTGGATCATCAGAGCTGCCAATTCCTGCTCCAGAAACATCTCATGGACCACCCAAGCTGAGGAGCTCAGAGCTCTGCGTTGCTCATGCTGCCCACACAGGAGAGCCCCTAGGAGAGAAGGATCAGCCTCATTCAGGCTGGTGGGGAAATTTTATGTTCCCCCCTGGGGACATTAATGAACTCAGAAATGTGACAACAGAAAAGAACAGACTCATTTATAATTCCACCGTGCAGAGAACACCACCTGGATGTTTTAGTACATATTCCTATTATGTATGTACAAGGGGATAGTGGTGTATATGTTATTTTGTAACATACTCTAACCATGTCTTCCTATCAGTAAATATTCGAGCACAAGTGGGTGAGATAATAACAACAGGTATAAATCAACATGAAGATGTGGAATAAGTTTACAGTCACCCCCTCAGCCTCCACCACTGTGCCCCAGTTAGCAAGAACTGCTGTATGGAACAAGTGATCTTTCCAAGGAACAACCACCTTGGTACACAGCTGGTTGCTAACCTTGCCTCTACCATTTAATGATTTCAGAAAGGACTCAGAACCTAAGAATAAAGAAAGATCTTTTGTGAATGTGAGAATTTATTTTAGACAGAATGCTGCCCAAAAATTTTATTTGTATTTTTTTTGCCTAAAATATTAAATTTATAAAATCCCTTCAATCCTAAAACAACCCTTAAGTGGATCATAGGGCACAAATTTCGTCATACCAATCTGGAGCTAGAGAAGCAGAGACAAGGATTGAACTAGTAATCAAATATCTGCAAATTAACATGTAAAGCAGTGTGCTTTATTTTTATTTTTAATCTAAGTATCCCAAGTGAGAAATTCAGTTAAGGAATTATATTCATAATCTGTATAGCAATTTTGCAATGTGTATCAACTGCCTTGAAATGTTCTTAGGTTCTAATCAAGTAACTTCTCTTCTGAAAACCATTAAGCAATGTTAAGAAAATTACTAGAGATGTGGTTAAAGATTTATGTACACAAAGTGAGAGTAATGTTATTTGTAGCATCAGACTATAAGCAGACTCTGAGCAATCAGTCCAAATATCCACGAGGGTAGGACTGGTGAAAATTAATGTACCCAGTCCATGGAATAATGGATGTTTTTAAAGGTTTATTTATTTGAAAGGCAGAGATTCAGAGAGAGAAAGACAGATGAGATAGAGATAGATGCAGAGATAGATGAGAGAGAGAAAGAGAGAGAGAGAAGAGAGAGAGACAGGCACTTCTAGCTGCTGGTTCATTTCCCAAAAGGTCACAATAACCAGGCTGAGACAGAATAAAGCCAGGAGCCAGGAACTCCATCTGGATCTGCCATGTAGGTGACAGGGCCCAGCACTTGGGAAATCATCCACTGCTCTCCCAGGCACATTGGCAGGAAGTTAGGTCAAAAACAGAGAAGCGGGGACAGGAACTGGCACTCTGATGGGGATGCCAGCACCACAGGCATTGGTTTAATTCACTGAGCTACAATGACTGCCCCAATGGATGTTCTTTTTTTTTTTTTTTTTTTTTATTTTTGACAGGCAGAGTGGACAGTGAGAGAGAGAGACAGAGAGAAAGGTCTTCCTTTGCCGTTGGTTCACCCTCCAATGGCCGCCACGGCCAGCGTGCTGCGGCCGGCGCACCGCGCTGATCCGATGGCAGGAGCCAGGAGCCAGGTGCTTTTCCTGGTCTCCCATGGGGTGCAGGGCCCAAGCACCTGGGCCATCCTCCACTGCACTCCCTGGCCACAGCAGAGGGCTGGCTTGGAAGAGGGACAACCGGGACAGAATCCGGCGCCCCGACCGTGACTAGAACCCGGTGTGCCGGCGCCGCTAGGCGGAGGATTAGCCTAGTGAGCCGCGGCGCCGGCCCCAATGGATGTTCTTAATGGGCTTTAAGAAATATCCTTAATATACTATCTCTAAACAAACACATAATATAAAATTTATTTTTAAACTATATGTGAGGTATGAACATTTATTAGCTGGAAATATAGACAAAAAGTAGATTGTGGATGCCTCAGTGAACATTATGAGCGACATGCAGCTTCTTCTTTATTTCCTATATTTTCAAAGCTTCTGCAATTGTAATGTATTAATTTTCTTTGAGAAAAGTTCTTTTTATCAAAAACAGTGAGACAAATGCCAAAGAGTGGTGGAAGCCTGCGTTCTGGAAACCACAGAGCAAACCAGGCCACAGACACTGGCTCCTCCCCATCCTGGCACCACCCTCAGTGCCCCTCCTCTGGGCCTTCCTGGTCCTGGAGAAACTCTGGGTCCCAGGATTGGCCCCCACTCCTCCCCTGTTCCCGTTAACTTTAGCAAACTAGGTTTCAGCCAGCTGTGATGGGTCAACTTGACTAGATTATGGAATCCCTAAGAACTGGCAATGCCTTCTCTCTGCATTGTCTGGGAGGACATTTCCAAACGAAATTGGCATGGGAGCCAGTGGACTAAGAAGTAGAAGACTGACTGCCAACGTGGGCAGGAGGGGTTCACCCAGCTGGGACAAGCGATGTGCTTTCTCTCCTGGAGCAGGGACACTCTCTCCTGTCCTTGGGCCTCAAGACCCCGGGTTCTCTGCCATTTGAATTCAGAGATACAGCAGGGGTCCCCAGGGTTTCAATGTTTCAGTCTCAGACTTGGAGCTGTGAATTGGTTTCCTTGGCTGTGAGGCCTCCATGCTGGGACTGAGCCATGCCATGGTGATCCCAGGGTCTCCAGCTTGCAGAATCTTATCCTGGGAATTCAATCCTGTGAGTCAATGCTCCTGTTAGGGTTTGGTGTTGTGGCTCATCAGATTAAGCCACCGCCAGCAACATCGGCATCCCATGTGTGCGCTGGTTTAAGTCCCAGCAGATCCACTTCTGATCCAGCTCCCTGCTAATGCTTTGGGAAAGCAGTGGAAGGTGGTCCAAATGCTTGGGCCTCCAAGCATCCACGTGGGAGACTGATATGGAGTTCCTGATTCTTGGCTCCTGGCTTTGGCCTGGCTCAGTTCTGCCTTGGAGTCATTTGGAGAGTGAACCAGCAGATGGAAAATTAGAAGCCACTAGGGTCAGTGTCTCTCCCCTATCCAACCCCTGGGACTCACCTCTGTGGTAACGAGCTACAATCACAGATGGAACACCAAATAGTACATCTGCAACCAATTCCAGGAACTTGTCTAACTTTCGGGCATTGCATTTCGTCTCTCCCAAATACTTCTCAGTGGCTACAGCAGTCAGTTCCATAGAGATGTTCTGAAATGGACCAAGAAAGTGACCACCTTCCCCTGGTGAGTAAGGAGGTTGCCCCAGCTGGTGAGGAATACCTGAGTCAGTGGCAAACCTCTTGAACCCTCTGCAACTCCCCCCGGGGTGGTAAAGTGGGAGAAGCAGAAAAATGGGGCAAAACCCCAGATCCAGTCTTTCTCATGCCATTTAATTAGTCTGTGATTTGGGGCAACCTCCTACCATTTGTTGGGTCCCCACCAATTCTTATAATTCCCTAGACTCTTACAACAACGGGATAGGACTTCCACAAGAGTTCTGTGGCTGTCTTCTGGTCCAGCTTGCCTTCAGAGAGTGGATAGCCCATCATCTGTTAAAGGGAGGGGTTAAGTGTTTGTGAATCATCAGAAATTAACAGGAAAAATCACACTGACTAACCAACTAAGCCAATGCAGATGGAAGATCCTCTTTGTCAGACCTTGATGGATGTGTGACTTTGATGAATTGGACAGAACCAAGGAATCAAATACCTTATGTATCCAGAAACTCATGGAGTACAGAGGATTGAAAATGCCCAGCAGAAGCTAGTGAGACCTTTGCTATATAAATATGTACTTGTATATTTATCCAGCAAGAATCCCCAGAATGAGCAGCCAGTCACAGAGGGAAAGTGGAGGAGAAGCCAGTATTGATGTTGAGGGCTCTTGGACAGAGGGCACAGACCATACCTCCACCTATCTCAGATGATGAGAAAACCCCAAATCCTACTGTTATGGCTTCAGTCCTTTGGGCATCCTTCTGAAATGAGAACTCATGGCACACAATGGCTCTGTCCAAACCTCTACACTCAGAGACTTGACCCAACTTCAGCTTTAAGAAGCTAAAGGCCAGCCAGCCGGCGCCGCGGCTCACTAGGCTAATCCTCCGCCTAGCAGCGCCGGCACACCGGGTTCTAGTCCCGGTTGGGGCGCCGGATTCTGTCCCGGTGCCCCTCTTCCAGGCCAGCTCTCTGCTGTGGCCAGGGAGTGCAGTGGAGGATGGCCCAGGTGCTTGGGCCCTGCACCCCATGGGAGACCAGGAAAAGCACCTGGCTCCTGGCTCCTGCCATCGGATCAGCGCGGTGCGCCGGCCGCAGCACGCTGGCCGTGGCGGCCATTGGAGGGTGAACCAACGGCAAAGGAAGACCTTTCTCTCTGTCTCTCTCTCTCACTGTCCACTCTGCCTGTTAAAAAAAAAAAAAAAGAAGAAGAAGAAGCTAAAGGCCATGGTCCTAGGATAAACTTAGCCTCCCGTAACATGCCTGCCCGAGAAAACTCAGTGCTGCCAGGAGAATCTATTGTTTTCTCCAGCCAAACCCAGTAATAGGAGATATGCCCCTGCACCCTCTCTTACTGTACTTACTTTATAAAGTTTACCATTGTAAACCCTTTGTCTGACCTATGAGATGTACATCTACTACCCAAACTGTTTCCTGCAGGAATTGAGAGCGGATTCTCATTTAATTTTTTGAAAACTCTTGGAAGTGGGAACACTCATGGAGATAACTGCTCATGTTCTTCACAGTGTTTGTGAAAGGATGAAGGCCTAACTCAATGGGGTCCTCGATTCACCGTATCCCAGTGCTTTCTGTCTTCCATGTAAGAGAAACTTGTTTCTCCTGAAGATATTCATAAACACACAAATTCAGATGGTCTAACCACATGGACTACCCCCTCAGTACTCACTATCGTGGCCTTCCCTTTGCACACCCCTGCTTTGGAAAACCTCCAGCTTTTTGGTTCTAGAATTGGAGTTCAGCTCATGCCTCATCTTTTCCCAATTGCAATTGTAGCACTCAATCAAACCAGTCCAGCTTCAACTAGGGTCCAACTCTGCTTATCATTGGCCCAAAAGCCACTCATCACCTCTAGAAGTCAATTTAAACTCAAGAAGAAGCAACTTTCTCTGAGTCTTTCCACTGAGGTGACCAAGAGGGAACACATGTGCCGTTTCATGGGTACACATGTGTAGCAGCCCATGTGAGAAACCTCTGGGCCACAGGCTTTCCTCTGCTAGACTCCAAGAGTTCCTTTGCATTTCTAGGCATTCTTGGTTTTTCTGGGTGAAAAGTCATATCTCTTCTAGGGCTTCCGAGCCTTGCTGTTTCAGATCTTTAATGAAAAATGATAAGAGTGCTGGTGAGAAGTGTTTCTAGGGCTAAACCACCCAGTGTGACTATCGAGCCATCCCAGAGAAAGCTTCTATGGCAATGTCAACTCCTGCCAACAGCAACAGCTGCCGTGGACTCAAATGGACCCGGAGAAGGAAGAGCTCTTGGGAACAGAGATTGGAGAGTGGATGGGCAGGTCTGTCTAAAAGATCTGCACATTCTCACCGTTGGAATAAACCAGCCAAACTCTTGCTTGTTGATTCCCACGATGTAGGGGACCCTGTTGAATCTCTTCTCTGCCAGAATCTCCTCGGGTGCCTTGGGCAGCAGCACCCCATCAACCACAGTGGTCAGGAACGGGTAGCTCTAGGGCAGAAAGGGCATTATGTCTGTGGAGCCCTTCCCCACGTAACACCCACACTGTCCACTCTGCTATCTGAGGGCAAGGCTAGCAGCATAGACCTATGTGGCTATGGACAGTGTTCTTGAAAGCTTAGAGTTGTAAGTAAAGGGGGGCTAATCTGTATGGCCCCAGGAGGCAGAACTTAGACCATGGTGAGCAGGGTAAAGTAACAGGGGTGGTGGTGGGGTGCAAACCTTCACCAAACTTTGTATATACAAGATGAACATTCTTTAAATTATGTGGGACCAGAAGAGTTCTTGATTTGGCATTTTTTTTATTTTGGAATATTTTCACATACATAAATAATGAAATATCTTGGAGAAGGAACACAAAATTCACTTAGGTTTTATGCACACTTCATCCACATAGCCCTAGTTAATTTTATAGAATTTTAATATGAGCTCAGATGTGGAATTTTTCACTTGTTGACATCAGGTCAGTGTTCAAAGTTTTCACATTTTGAACATTTTAGATTTTGTATTAGGGATTGGGGTGCTCAACCTGCCCGGTATAATATATGAACAGAGCCATATAAACTTACATCAATTTGAAGTCTACCTATCTCCCTTCTTAGCTATCACTGATTCTCATTATCTCCGGTAGTTCTGCTCCACAGCAGTGCTAGGGACACTGCAGCAGTGAACTCTGAGCCATTGCTCCCAGGGAAAATCCAGCCTTAGGTTACTGAGAGCCTCGTCTCACATCTTATGTATGGGCCTAACTTTAAAGACTGTATTTAACGGAGACTTCTGATAGAGTTTCCAGCACCAGGCAGCAAGGACTTACCACTTCCAGGACTGGGCAATGTGCTTGCGCATTTCTTTGGTGTTCGGTCTCACAATGATACTGCCCACTAGGCTTCTACATGTTCCCCACCATCTCATGAATCCATAACTTTGGCTGTTTTCTCATCCTTTACAAACAGGAGATGCTTCAGCAGTTTCCAGAAAGGCCTCATATGCATGTTGAGGTTCCTTTTCCTTTTTTGGATGCCTTGCACTGTCGGCCCCCTGACACTGCACTCACAGCTGACACGCTGTGACTCAGGCCTGAATCCTGGGTACGTAAGGCATGCATTTTCGCTATGAGGTGCATCACTGCCTTCCTAAGCTTCGGAACACCAGATAGCACTTCAGCACTTCAGTACAACACTTAGGAGCCACGCTAAACAGGGAAATCATTTTAAAAAACTTGGATCAAAGGATGCAGAAACTTGGCATTGCATAGATCACAGAGAAGACACTCAGCATGGAAGGTAAAGGAAGATAGAACATCACCTCATGTGACCTCAGAAGGGAACGGCACATCACGTGGCTCAAACGTCCGCCCTGCTCAAGCCTGTGACTTCCGCATTGCTACAAGTGTCTCTTTCAGGACAACAAATACATCTGAACAAGTAATTCACAAGTACAGAATCCATAGTGAACGAGGGCCAACTGTATTTTCTCTGTTTAACCAGGAGCTCCTACTGATAGATGGCTTGTTTTCAGGAAGTCCAAGCTCCGCATCAGCCAAGGTGCCTATCCTGAGACTTGATTCCCTATCCGAGAGCATACGATGAGTACGAATCAGAGATGGACTCGTAGGGATCATTCTTAATTTTAGGTTTTCCCCTTGAAGAACATTATTTCCTGGGTCATAGATTGAATACGGCCTCAATCAAATGTCACCATCTGTGCAGTTGGTTCTGAGTAGTGTCTGTGGCTCATATTTACTTGTAAGAGTGTGGTTGTTAATAACATGAATTTTGGAGTCAGACTATCTAGCTATGAAGCTTGGTTTTGTTACTCACTAGCTCCTCCTTTGGAAAAGTAACTTTATCTGGTTGTGCCTCAGTTTTCTCATCTATGGGATGGGTAACTGCTATGGTTTAGATGCAGTTTGGAAGGCGGCGCTGCGGCTCACTAGGCTAATCCTCCGCCTTGTGGCGCCGGCACACCAGGTTCTAGTCCCGGTTGGGGCGCCGGATTCTGTCCCGGTTGCCCCTCTTCCAGGCAAGCTCCCTGCTGTGGCCAGGGAGTGCAGTGGAGGATGGCCCAAGTACTTGGGCCCTGCACCCCATGGGAGACCAGGATAAGCACCTGGCTCCTGCCATCAGATCAGCGCAGTGCGCCGGCCACAGCGCACCGGCCGCGGCCATTGGAGGGTGAACCAACGGCAAAGGAAGACCTTTCTCTCTGTCTCTCTCTCTCTCTCACTGTCCACTCTGCCTGTCAAAAAAAAAAAAAAATAAGATGCAGTTTGGAGTGCATCCTCCAAGGATCCATGTGGTGGAGTCTTGACCCTTAGTGAGGTGGTGTTGGGAGGTGGTGATTCTTTTAGAGGTGGGGCCTAGCAGGAGGTTCTTAGGTGCTGAATTTGGAAGGGATCTAGATGGTTCTCATTGGACCCCGAGTTAGTCATCTCTAGAGGGAGCTGTTAGAACAGCAAGGCCCAGTCAGAGTTGCTCTCTGGCTTCCTGTCAACAGTGTGATCCCTTGTTCCTGAACGTGCTCTTGCCATTGTGGTGCCACCCTCAGGTCTCCCCAGAGCTGAGCTAATGACAGCACCATGACCTTAAATGCCCAACACTGAGAGCTAAAAACCTGCTTTTCTTCATTACGTTACCAGCTCTAGGAATTTCCTTACAGTAACAAAAACAGACTAATACAGTTGTGGGGGAGATTAAATGACTAAACACGTGTAAACGTTCAGCATAGCTCCCAGAAAGGACTCAGTAAGGGTTAGATGTCACTCATTAGCAGTGTTAGGACAGATGCCCCACACAGACACCATCCCTAATTCCCACATCTCCAGCTCCAAGGTTCATCAGCACATTTCCATACCTACGTACCATATGGAAGTGGACAATTCCAGTGTTTGGGACCCTTTGTTTTCCTGTACTTATATCTGTACTGCAAAGAGCAATGAATAATGAGTCCATTCTGGCTGCCCACAGAAGTCCTGGAAAGAGAACTAGATCCAGGAGGACATGTAAAAATCCTAATCTAATCTGGCTGACAGTAGAGAACGGTATCTGGAGGCAACTCCTGCTGCCTTAGAAAGGCTGTGCAGGCCTTAAAGGACAGCCATGGGAGCTGACAAGAGACGCACTTCTCTGGAGGGCAGACACAGTGCAGGTCACATGGAACAGGTGCTTCTCATGCGTAGTGAGCTCTGAGGAATGATGGGCATTAACAGATGAAGAAAGAGGTGGAACTTTCCAAGTCACTGGAAGTGACGTGAGCAAAGGGCAGAGGTGTCACTGTGCAAGTGTGGTCCCAGAAACTCCAAAGAACCTTGGGCTTGAAGGTTAAACATGGGACAGGGACAAGAGAGAGTCGGAGAGTGGAGTGTGTTTTCTGCTCTATGGCTGGCACCCAGCAGACACTCAGACATGCTGGGAAGGACTAATGTAATGGAGGCAAGAAAGGGCAGGCTTTTAAGAAAGGAGTGACAGGCTCTCACCTGTGTTCAATGAGCAACTCTGGCACCACATGGGGCACAGGAGAAGGAAGGGAACGCAGTAAAAGTCTGGGAGGAAGACAGTGAGGGCTGACTGTAGCAGCACCAGTGGGGGAAGAGTGACCTCAGCAACAGGGAGAACCACAGTAATGGCTACTGTCCACTCAGTGCTTGCAGTGGCTGCCCTGACTGGGCCACTGACATAGCCTTGCTTAGATTGGAGAAGTCGGGGCACCTCTCTCTCTCTCTCTCTCTCTCTCTCTCTCTCTCTCTCTCACCTTATGTTCTGTCCATTAGCAAACCCCAGCAGCAATTCATTCAAAAATGCCTAGACTCCAACAACTGCTCTCCAATCAAGGCTACAGCCTGGTCTGAGCCAACAGCACTGTGCCTGGCTAAGTGCAGCACAGGGGCCTCCCAATGGTCTCCGCATCTGCTCTGTTCACTCCCCATGGTCAGTTTCCACAGAGTAGGCAGAAAGAACCTTGGAAATTCTAAGATCATCCACTCCTGGCTGAAAACCCCTACAGACTTCCCATCTGGCTCTATGTAGAAATCCAAATCCTTTAAATGACCGCCTCCTACCTTGCTCCTCCCATGACCTCTTTAACCTCAAGTCTGTCGTCTCCACTAATTACTCCAATTCCTAGCATCTTGGCTTTGTGCCACAGGGCCTTTGCACTTGCTCCTCCCTCTGCCTGGAATAGTCTTCCTCCAGTTTTCCTGGCTTCTCCCCTTCCCCTACAGCTTGACTCAAATGTGACCTTCTCAGTCATTCATTCCTTGACTCTATGGATTAAATCCAAACCACTGGCAAGCTCTGTCCCACTTCCACTTTCTTCTCCTCCTTAATGCTGGCCATTATCAAACACACCACATATTTTATTTGTGTTTCTCTTGTACTCTCCCTGCTGGAACGGACATCTCCAAGAATCTTACCTGTTTTTTTTGCTATTTTCCCAACTTCTAAATCAGATCCTGGTACATAGTAAGTGCCTGATTAACCTTCGCTGGATGAGTGAATGAATTTCGGTTAATCCTTGCAAGTCTTTTTAAGGGAAGTGCTCTGATCTCTAGGGAGGTATCAGGGAAATCAGCATTGTAAGAAAGATGTAAGGTGCTGCACAGCTGACATCACCAGAGCCTGGAAATCAACTGGGACGAGGGACAAGATGGAAAGGATACTCATGCAATTTCCTAGGCGCTGGGAGGAGCATGGGGTCCTCAGGACTGATTTTCTACTCTCTCCCTGCACAGCTCATCAACCGTGTGCCTCCTGACCTGTCATCCTCAACAAGAACTCCTGAAGAAACCACTTATCCAGTTCTCTGCCTCCTCACAGTGGGAGGCTCCAGCTCAGCCTCCTCCCACAGGGACTTCTTAGGAAAGATAAACAAGAGACTGAGTCCTCAGGATGTACAGTTTCTGCCTGGGAGCCAGCAGGCAAGGGGTGAATTCCAGTCTTGCTTCTGGTCATCCTGGCTGTTACCCAGGCAAGTCATCTCTTGAGTTACCCATCTCTGAACCTCAGCAAGGTGCTCACACGGAGTGATAATGATTCCACAGTAGGGAAGCTTTCATTCAAGTCAATTGGAGCTTGAAGGTGTTTAGACTTGAAACTTATGATAAAGAAATCAAAGATCCTTACCTGTCTGGGGTCTCCAAGTAAATCGAGAGTGAAAAACTTCTGTGAAGACAAAGGCGTGTGGTAGAGAGGCTGGAGAGGATGTGGTGAGAGAGTTTCCTGGGGGAACCTGATCATGTGGGCTGGACAGTTGAGAGTCAGGCGCTTCGCAGTGCCCCTCAGGCTGGTTGGCAGGATGTGAGTCTCCACTGGGCATGAGCAAAGGTCGAGGGGAAGGACAAGGGAGGGGCAGGCACCAGCAAGTGAAAGACAGTCCCTGGGAACAAGCACGGGGACACTGGGGCTCTGGAGAGGTCATCTGCTGTTTGTGTCTCCCGTCCTCTATAAGCTTGGTCCTCTTGTGCCACATGTAGAACAATGAAAATAGATGCATCTTTCTAGACATTAGAATTAATTGTAGTCCCCTCGTTGGAGCTGACGGAGCTGATGAGCCAGAATCTATGTCCTACATTACATTAGACACCACCCATAGTCATACAGGCAGAGCCCAGAGCTGCGGGCCTGCCCTGGGGGCTCAGGAGTACTCTCAGTTGCTCAGGACCCCAGTTTTCTTCTGAGCTCCTGGCCAGACCTTCCTGCACTAAGAACCAGTTCCCATTGGCTCTGGACTCTGTGTTCTCTGGGTATTTGTCTTCCTGAATATCCATCAGTCTTCAAATGCCACCCTCCCTGGGAAGCAGCCTAGCTGGCTATAAGTGTCCTAGCTTTGGACACTTAGGATGAACAGATGAGGGGTGGATGGGGGGATGGATGGATGGGGTTTTTAAATACATGCAGTGTGAGTCAATCAGATGTATACATGGAGAGATAGATGATAGCTAGAAGATAAGTGATGGATGGATCACTATTTTTGGTCAAATGCATGATGGATGAAGATATTTTGTGGCTAAATGATTCATGTATGATTATACATTGAAAATAGATTAATGAAACATTGTGGATGGAATGATATTAGAATGATAGAAGATATAAATGGATTGGGTTGATTCATCAGTGGATAGATGGATCACAAAATGGATGGGTGGGTGGATGGGTGGAGGGATGGATGGATGATAAAGGAATGAGTGGATGGATGGGCATCCTAGAATGATAATTGAGGCAGAGTCTCAGAAATTCTAGACATCTGAGCTATTACTCGACTTGGTATAATTTATGCAGTTTCTAAACCAACAAAGATAATTTGTAACCCATTTCTGAAAATCTTTGCGCTTAATATCTCCAAACACAAAATTCAGGATGTTTCCTTTGGTGACTATGGAATGTTTATTTTTAACCAAGACATGTGAACATGAGAGTGGAAAAATATTAACCTTGAAAAGGTGCAGAATTATTATGTACTTTTCCCTCATATTATTATTTTTGGAATTTTTGGCATTTGAAGTATTTCACAATGATAAAGAAAAACAATGAAATTCTCTATTCACATTTGGGCACTGACACTGTCCCAGGTACTTTTTCCAGAGTAAGAAGACAGTGAAGCCTAAGTCCAAGGACATGGGGAGGGGAGGCCTACCATTTTCCATGTTGCATTCAAGAGCTCACCCTCTGTCTTCTGGCGCAGACAGTGAACCAAGGCAGCCGAGGTGGTGGTGTTACAACCAGCTGCAACAGCGATTTGCTACAGAGATCGAGGTGAGAGCACAGTTCAAGTGTGATGTCCCTTCCATCCATTAATAAGCAAGTAGGTAATCCTATTCGAAGTCCAACTTCTGAAGGCAGTGAAAATACTCTAGACCAGCAGGTGTGGGCTCGGGGTCACAGAGTTTTGATTCTGTTATGAATCTGCATTGTGACATGAGCCAATTACACAATCTCTATGTCTCAATTACCTAATCTCTGTTAAATTGACATGATAATCTCAAAGCTGAATCAGAAACAGTGCAGGTTGGAGGTGAAGAGGATGGAATCCGGAATTCCACTCCTTGGTTTCAAACCCTGTATAGGAGTATACTCTACTAGCCATTAGGCTTCAGACAACTCCATTTCTTTGTGTCTTAATTTCTCAACTATAAATGGGGGAGAGGGGTGGCACTGTGATGCAGTGGGTTAACGCCGTGTCTTGAAGCACTGGCATCCCAAATGGGTGCCAGTTTGAGACCCAGCTGCTCCACTTCTGATCCAGTTCTCTGTAATGGCCTGGGAGAGCAGTAGAAGATGGATCAAGTCCTTGGGCCCCTGCACTCGCATGGGAGACCTGGAAGAAGCTCCTAGCTCCTGGCTTCAGATCAGCGCAGCTCCGGCTGTTGCGGCCAATTGGATAGTGAACCAGTGGATGGAAGACCTCTCTCTCTCTCTCTCTGCCTCTCCTCTCTGTGTAACTCTGATTTTCAAATAAATAAATAAATCTTTAAAAAATAAAAAAATGGTGGGGATAATGATTGCACTTATTCTAGAAGATGAAATATCTAGGGCACCATGTGACCTGCATACTGAGCAGTGCAGAATTGTAGTACCCTAGACAAGACTATTAACACAAAGGCACTTAAGAAAGCACACAATGTGATATCAGTGTGAGCACTAAGAAAACAACATGTTGGCCATCTTAAGGCATCCCAGTGTTCAACCAGAGGGGAGGATGTTGATGGCCGGATGTGGCTCCATTGCGCCGGGGTCATGGTGAACATGCAGTCTGTTCCAGGGTGTGACCCAGAATCAATGCTCAGAGGGAAAGAAATGAGAAAGTGCAGGACCCCCTTAAGTTTGCAAATTCTGGTTTCTGTTTACTAACAAAGTCCAATCTTGTCCTTATCAATTCTTTTTCCTTAAAAAGCACTCCCTCTTCTTGGCTTATCCCTGGTCACATGGACACCCACTGGTACGGGAAAAGACTTCTGAGACAATTTTCCCAAATCCTAGCCATTCCCTCCCCTCCTGCTTATCAGTCCCTGTGGTGCTGTACTCACCCTCCACTAGCACCAGATTTCACAACTCCACTGACATACTCCGTGGCTCTGGCTCTAACAGTTGCTCCTCAGCAGAGCCAGTTCAGTGACCATCCATTCCTCTGGCTTCCTTCCACTCTCCAGATGGTGACAAAACCCTTTCCATGGTCCTGTTCAGCATGATTCCTGCCAATGACTCCGCCCTCAGCTCACTGTAGTTTCTCCTTGCTTCCTCTGCTCTGGCCTCATCAACTTTCTCTCACTCTCTTACATGCAAGATACTTCCTTCTGCCACAGGAAGTATGCATATGCTTTTCCCTCTGGAATCCTGGAATATTCTTGGCTCACCACATGGAATATCTCTCACTCTTTTGATCCTGACTCATTGGTCACTTTGAGAGCAAAACTCTACTAATGCCCTCTCCCAACTCCTGGACTAGATGCTCCTTAATTAAGATTCTGTTGTTACATCTGACTCTGCTATTACCTCTGCATATTTTTTTTTGGACAGGCAGAGTTAGACAGTGAGAGAGAGAGAGGCAGAGAGAAAGGTCTTCCTTCCGTTGGTTCACCCCCCAAATTGCTGCTACGGCTGTTGCACAGCACCGATCCAAAGCCAGGAGCCAGGTGCTTCTCCTGGTCTCCCATGCCAGTGCAGGGCCCAAGGACTTGGGCCATCCTCCACTGCCTTCCTGGACCACAGCAGATAGTTGGACTGGAAGAGGAGCAACCAGGACAGAATCCAGCTCCCCAGCCAGGACTAGAACTCGGGGTGCCAGCACCGCAGGTGGAGGATTAGCCTAGTGAGCCATGGAGCTGGCTACCTCTGCATTATAGCTGGTGTTAGTAGAGTGGTGAGTACAGCATCCTCACCACAGGACTGATAAGCAGGAGGGAGGGAATGGCTAGGATTTGGGAAAATTGTCTCAGAAGTCTTTTCTCTTACCAGTGGGTGTCCATGTGACCAGGGGTAAGCCCAGAAGAGGGAGGGCTTTTTAATGAAAGAGAATTGATTAGAATGAGATTGGACTTAGTTAGTAAACAGGAGCCACAATATTTAATAATTTACATGACTTTGTAGTCATTAATCTATCTCATTCAATAGAGTGGAATTTCATGAGGTCATCGCATGTGTGGCCCTATCGAAACCAACCATTGAATGACTGAATGAATCAGTGAGTGAATTCCCCCATCACAGGCCCTCAGTGAAGATCTTCTCCAGGCCCCCAGCCTGCAAGTGCATCCAGTGAGACTGAGCCTTGGAGGAGTTGTGAACTACTCACAGGCACTGCCCACTGTGCAGCTTGGCTCACTGTGAGGAGCTCACTCTGACAGTTCCAGTCATGAACATGAATCTCAGCTCACCCTTGATAATAAATCACTCCCACTTCCCGCTTTTTGCCTAGTTTGCTTTGTTGTAGAATTAGAACGTAGAGAGAGGTGTCTCCTTGTCCTACCTGCTCAGCCATTCTCATTTCAGAAAGATTCCTGAGGATGTAGGAGAGCAGAGCAAAGAAGGCAGGAGCTGTCCAGGGTGAGACCTACCTTAGCAGCTGGCTTGATGTCCTTCCTGAATAGACAAGGAGTGAGAGCCACACCACTCTCAGAAATGGCCCGGTGGAAGAGGTTGTTGGCCAGGGAAGATAAAACCTGGGAAAGGGAGAGTTCATACTCAGGGGAAGATTCAGAGTGATGTTTGCTCTTCAAGGCTTCCTCTACCTGCAGCCCTGTGTTGGCCCATTGTCCTGAAGGCACTGGGGTCCAAACCTCCTCAGCTGGCCTGGCCTGTTTCCCTAGCTCCCTTGGGCCAAGCTTCCACAAGAGAATCTTGGCAGGATGGATTCAGAGAAAACAGCAAGAGACACTAAGAGTTGGAGTCAGTTCTGCACACTAGGAGTGTGTAGTACCTGCACATTGTGACAATTGGAAGTACGTAAAAGACAACTTGGGAATTCCTAGTTACAAATTCTGACTAAGAATTCATCTTAAAATACTAAGAATTCAATGCTAGGAATTCATCTTGAAAGTATTCATGTTGTCTATAATGGTAAAAATTGAAAATAACCCAAGATTCCAATATTATGACATTAAGTTAATCAATGTATTTTTGGATTCTTACCATGAAATCCTATATAATCATAAAGGAAATATTATACATGAGTTTTATGTTTGTGGCAGTATTTATGTTATAATGTATTATCTAGGGAAGATATTATATAAAGAAGATGGATGTTAGAGGAAGGGGGAAACAGATAAATGCTAACATGCAAAATCAGTAGAGAGAGATGGATAGAGAGATGATAGATAAAAAGGCTGATAGAGGACAGATAGATAACAGTCATGGAAGAAAGACTAGGAAAATGCGTGTCAAATATTCACAGGGGTTCTCCTTGGGCAGTAGGATTGTAGGTGACTTTTTTCTTCTTTGGGTTTACTCATATTGTCTCTTTCCCTACACCCTAAAAATATAAAAGTATTTCCCTCTGAGTATGCAACTCTGAAACCAACACATGTTTGAAAATCACAGTAATAGAACTGACCCCAATCTTGAGTATGAGACATTTAGAGGGTCTCCTGCAGCTCCCAGCACCTTCTTGTTTCCCTCAGCATCTCCCCAGCCTCATTTGCCCCACCAGCAAGATATCACACGCCCCCTGGCTGTGTCTGTGTCCCGCATGGCCTGCGTCATTTCCCTCTGCCCTGTATTCCATCTCTCTTATCTGCTTCTCGCCTTCCAGATCACTTCATCTTCCAGTCCCAGAACTGGCTATGTTCTCTCTTGGGTGTGTACAAGCCATCAGACCACTTCAGAGGAAGACCCCTGCCTGCTCTTTGTGGCTGAGTCCCCTTAACATATAGATCTGACTTCCAGCCCAACAATAATCTTCTGCCCACCACTTGTCCTGGACCCATGTTTTTCATAATTTATGCCCACTCTTCTTTCCAACAGAAGTGAGGTGAGTCTCAATGTCTAAATGATTAGGAATGAGAGAGAAGGCTCTCAATCGCTTGGCAGAACAAGTTAGATGTGGAGGAACATCACTGCTGCAGCCTTCAAGTGGAGACTCATAACTCCAGTGCCTGAAAGGGTGTGCTGAGCTTTCAGTTGGCCAAGGAGAGTTTGGTACTTAGCTCCCCATCATCTGATGCTGTGTAGTGAGCATGGTGTGCCTTGACTATAGATCTTGTAAGCAAAGTTTGCTTTGGATGGGCTTGCTGGTCTTGAAGAGGCTCCATCAGTAATCACATCATGCCCAGGAGGGGGATGCTGCCAGGAACACTTACAAGAACAGAGACACTTTGACCTCCTGCTGACTCTCCAAAGATGGTCACAGAGCCTGGGTTCCCTCCAAAGTTGGCAATGTTGTTCTGGACCCAGCGCAGCGCAGCCACCTGGTCCCAGTGACCCCAGTTCCCTCGGCTGTGCTCATCTCCTGTGCTGTAAAACAACAGGATGGGAATGAGAGGAAGAATAGTCATGGCCAGAAACCAGATCACATAAGGAATAGGGGCTTGCCATGATTTAGATGTGTTTATTTCCCCAAGGGTTCCTGTGCTAGAGGTTTAGTCTTCAATGTGACAATCTATTGGAACGTCATAAAACCTTTAATAAGTGGAACCAAGTGAGTGGGTTGTCCTGTCCTTAGAAGTAACCAATATAGTTCTTTCAAGACACTTGTTGTCATCAGAGGGCTTTTAGACAAGCAAGACTGTCCCTTATCCACTCTCTGGCTTCATATTTCATCTTGTGATCCCCTGCTACAATGCCGTTTGTCATGATGTAATTTAGCCAAGGGAACCCTCACCAGAGCCAGTGCAATGCTGTTTGACATTTCAGGCTCCAGAACTATGAGCTAAAGAAACCATTCTTCGGGGCTGGCACTGTGGTGTAGTGGGTAAAGCCTCCGCCTGCAGTGCCGGCAACCCATATGGGAGCCAGTTCAAGTCCTGGCTGCTCCACTTCCCGTCCAGCTCTCTGCTATGGCCTGGGAAAGCAGTAGAAGATGACCCAAGTCCTTGGGCCTCTGCACCCATGTGAGGGACCTGGAGGAAGCTCCAGGCTCCTGGATTTGGATTAGCACAGCTCTGGATGTTGCAGCCATCTGAGGAGTGTACCAGTGGATGGAAGACTGATCTCTCTCTCTCTCTCTCTCTCTCTCTCTCTGCCTCTCTGTAACTGTGCCACTCAAATAAGAAAATAGAAAAAAAGAAACCATTCTTTTTATAAAGTACTTGGTCTCAAGCATTTTGCGAGAGCCACAGAGAAAAGTTATTACAGAAAGTTGGTACCAAGGAGTGGAATCATTGCTACAACTATGTGTGAAAGCACAGAAGAGCATTTTCAAGTGGGTCAGGACAGAACTTGGAAGAGCTGGGAGGAGCAGGCTAGAAGAAGCCTAGAATGAAGTAGAGGGAGGGAGAGAGGTGGTTTGGTATGGGTTCAGAAGATGATGACATTTGGGGAACTGGGCTCTTATGGAAATGAATATCTGATTGGAAATGGGAGTAAAAGTGACCCTATTACACCACTGCGAAGAACTTGGCTGAATCTACTCTGTGCTCTAGGATCTTATTGGAGATTAAATTTTAAAATGATGGACCAATCGCTTGGCAGAACAGCAAATCATTCAGGGTGCAGCATGGGTATTATTTGCCTCTTGCAGTGAGATTTGCAGTGAGAGCAAAGGGAAGCAGAGTGGAAGTTACCATGAATGACAACCACCGGAACCATTGATAAAAGCCTTAAGAGTGTCTCAGAAATCTTCCAGGTTGCCTCTCCCATCACAGGTCCAGACGCCTGTCAGTGCTCATTGGTGTCAAGGAAAGGGCCCATGGTGCACCTCATGGGATGGCTGCCTGGGACCACCTCAGGATTCTGTTTTTCTGAAGCTGCTTCAGCCACAGTTCAATGAGGCTCAGGCATGGTTTGCTGGTTTTGCAGGTGGGTTATGCAAGAGTTATGAGGTCATGGCAGCTTCCACCAAGATTTCAAAGAAAACCTTGAGAGGCAAAGCAGAATTATGCCATAGACTACAAAGATTTCCAACTAGAATGTCTAGGGGAGTCACTAGAAAGTTGCCACAGCTGGGACCCCAGAAAGGTAGAGACATTGGCAACGTGCAACACTGGTGGGACAGCTTTAGACAGTAACAGGCAGTGCAAGAGATCAACCACTAAGCTGCAACCAGTGAAGTCCTTAGCTGCCCCTGCACCCCTCCCCACCACCACCACAGAATGCACAAAAGGCTGGAGCCAGAGCTTTTATATACCTGCTGACTTCTGGTCTTGCTATGAGTCTATTTTGACTTCCCTATTTCTCCCATTTAGAATAGAAGCTTTTATCATTTCCTTGTGCCATCATTTTGTCTTGGAAGGATCTAACTTCTTTATTTTACAGGGTCTCATGGATGAAAGAGTTGGTCTTGAGCCTCAAACGAGACTTTGGACTTGGACTTCTGGAACAAGTTAAGGCTTTTGGACTATTAAGGATGCAATGGCTAGTTTGCACTGTCAGAATGACAATGAACCTTGGAAGCCAAGAGCAGAATGCTGTGGTTTCGATGTAGTTTGCAGAACAAGCATTCATGTGTGGGAAGCTTGGTTCCCAACAGAGTGACATGCAGAGGTGGTCAGACCTTTAAGAGGTGGGGACAATCTGTGAGGTCATTAGAGGCATGGCCTCAGAAAGGCTTAAAGTAGTTCTCATGGGAGCCTGGTTAGCTACCCCTGCCCTGGCTTCCTGTCTCACTGTGTGATTTCCCACAGGTGCCCAGCAAGGTACACTCTGTTGTGATGTGATATAATCAATGGAGCACTCACCAGAGCCAGTACTATGCTGTTTGAAACTGCAGCCTCTGAACTTGTGAGCTAAATAGACCCTTTTGCTTTAGAAGTTATCCAACCTGAGGTATTTTGTTGCAGCAATGGAAAATGAACTACTTAGTGAGCTGTAGGGAAGCCTTAAGAATAAGGCTGGGCTCCAGCACCCCTGACACAGGGGTCTTCACCCACCTCCCAATTCCACAGCACTTCTGTGCAGGGCTCCACATTCATTCACCTGGATACTGTACATTAAAAATCTTCTATGTGCCCAACAGAGTTCTCAGAGCTAGAACACGTCTAAGAATAAAACAGAAAAGACCTCCCAATACACTGAGCTCACACTACAGACCACAAAACAATGGATAAATACAGAATATAATGACAGGTCATGAAACTTCTTCACAAGAAAACAAACCAGGCTGAGGAAAAGGCAGGGATGGGGAGTAGGGTGTTGTTTCAGATCCCAATATGAGGGCAGATACCTAGAGACAGCCATGCTTCAGTAAGGCCTGAGTACAATGAGGACAGGCATCTTGCAAATTCCAAAGAAGGGAATTCTGGGAAGAAGAAACAGTAATTGCAAAGGTCCTGGGGTCCAGTGAACAGATGTGTGAGCACAAAAGACGCAGCTGGAGGGGGCTGTGTGTCTTGGGAAGGACTTGGATGCCACTGCAGGCGACATGGGAGACCACTGCAGAGATGTGACATGACTCATTCCATGTCTTCAGGACCCCTCTGGACATTGTGTAGACTGGCCAGAGTATCAATTTAGCAAGAGTTTAAAAGTAAGTGGTTATAACAAAAAGCCAGTCACAAGACCAAGGGCTTTGGATATGGCTGGAAAAAAAGAGATGAAAAGAGGTTGGATTCTGATTCTGTTTTGAAGGTGGGGCCAAGAGGGTTTGCCTGTAAACTTGCTGTGGGGTGAGAACTAAAGAAGAGCCCAGGCTGCCCACAGCCCTTTATCCTGCACACGTGGAGGATGGAGCTGCCAGCAGTCACACAAGAGGCCCTGGAGAAAGGGAGGGGTGTCTTTGTTGGAGGAGGGACTTTTGGGAGCCGAGGTCCAGCCTGTTTAGGTGACGTGGGAAGTTCCCTTTAGACATCTGTGGAGGGGGGTGGAGGTAGCTTATGATGGGCACCTGAGTTTCAAGGGAGGGTGGAGGTTATAAACAGAGAGCTCTGAGAGCACCAATGAGATAATGCAGGGGTTTGTGGAGAGGGATGGGGGACACCCAGATCCACGAAGATGGGGGTGAAGGAGAAGGGGCCAGCAAAGTGGCTAAGAATAAGCAGTCCAGGAGGTAGCTGTAGCCAAAGAACCAGAAGAGGAAGTGTTTCAGAGACCTGAGTGGTCATCTGTGTCTGTGCCAAGAAGGCATAAGGTTGGGCCAAGGGCTGGTGAAGCTCACTGGTGACCTTAACAAGATGAGGCTGATGGTACGGCCAGCTGAGAACCTGCCTGGCTTGGGTAGAGGAGGACAGGGAGGAATGAGCTGGACGGAGATCTCAGAGCAGTTTTACATTCTCAAGGAGCAGACCATGGGCTGCAGATGAAAGGGATGTGGAACCTCCGTGGAGATAACAAATCTGGAACACAACCCAGTGAAAGGCAGACCTGAGTCCCTCCTCCTGCTCTATGTTTTTCCCCTTGGGGAGTAGAACTCCTACACATGCCCACCCGGCAGCCGTCTCAGGGGCAGCTGTTCTGGGTCAGATGCGCTCAGAAAATTCTCGAGTACCTGCCTGCAGAAGAACTGGTTCCTGTCCCCACGGGAACCTGAAGGAGAAGGAAGGCTTTAGCCATGATTCCTGCGTGTATCGGACCCCAACAGGAAATGAGCTTAGTGGTCACCACTACCTCTCCAGGAGCATTGCTCCCTGAGTCAGATTCTCTGACAACTTCCCACCTGCACCCACCCATTACTTCGTACACAAGTGTTCACTAAGCTCCTTCTGTGAGTCTACCCCTTCCTTTCCCTGCCTTGAGGAGTGTGTAAATGCCTAACTGCTATGTTGCTTGCTAACCGTCATCAAAGAGGAATGCAACATGCTAGGGTCGTATAGGTAGAGATGAGTGTTTCACAGGAGGTAACATGTGGTGGGCTTTGCAGGGTGAATAGGAGTGGGTTGGGTAGATTAGGCATTCCAGGCAGTAGTAAAAATAGATTTAAAACTCAGAAGCAACTGAAGCAGTGTTTGTGCACAATGAGAAGGTGGGTGGAGCCCAGTTATGAAGGGACTTGGATGCCTCAACAAGGAACTTAAGAAGGGTCTTGTGGAGGGCTAACATGACCTGAGCTGGGTCCTAGCACCCTCACTGTGGGACCACTACACATGAGGAGAGTCCAGGATCTTACCTGAGGAATCCCCAGATGCCCAAGCGGTATTGAATGGTCACTACCACCACACTCTCATGGGCAGAGAGGGCCAGGCCATCATAGATGGATGCCCCACCTGACAGTAACCCACCTCCATGGATCCACACCATCACCTGGTCGGGGAGGAAGAAGACACACAGGTTACAGGAAACAGAGCTTAAGAGGTTACCGGTTTGATGACCTACCTCTTGGCTTTGACTCAGGGTGGTTGTTACCCAACATCCACCAGAGTCCAGTAAAGCTTGAACAAGCAGTCTCCCTCCTCTGCAGCTCCCCCAGCTGGGGCCAAGGGCATCACACCACTCAGAGCACCTTGGAGACCTCCGCCTTTATCTCCAGCCCTAAATGCCACCTCCTCCCAAGGCTCTTGAGGCTGTCAGTGTCATGATGGAAATAGAAAAAGTCCGGGATGTCAGGTTCTGCCCTACGCTTCTGTCATCCTCCTTGCTGGACCATCCATCCAGCTCAACACACACTGGGTCAGCCCTTGCACTTCATCTCATTTAACTTTTCTGGAGTGAATTAAACTTCTCTGCACATCAGTGATTGTCTCCAGGAACACACGGGCCCCTGAGAGTTTCTCACCCTAATAAGCCTCCTCTCTGCCTCCTCTGTGTATCCAAGCTCCACAAAGGCAGGGGATGTGGATTGAGAGTTCTGTGCTTCTCCTTCTCCCCCAACCAGAACAGTCACCCACCCATATGGGGACACCAGCTACACAATAAAAGAATAAAGGATTGAAGGGGCGTGCAAACCTTTATCCCCTCCTTGTAGGGCCTTATAAAGCATGTGCAGGAACAGCTTGTAGCTCACTGTGGGCAGCAAGCCAGGGGCGTTCCTGGGAGACCGGCTGGGTGCTGACAGCTGCCCGCTTCCAGCAGACCTAATCTCCCACTCTCTCCACCCAGCAACAGGCAACCTGCCCTATCTCTGTCCCTTTGTTGATTTAGGTGATACTGACTCATTGGCTCATCAGCTTGTGCCAAAGACACTTACAGAGGGAAAGGAGCCCTGAAAAATCCCAGATAGTTGACTGAGAACAAAGAAAGGAAAGCCCTTCTAGCTCTGCCCCCCACACCTCTGTTGCTGGAGAGTGGCGTTGTCATGGATGGATCTTGGGGTATGGGGGAAAGCCAACACACGCTGTCTTCCCGTCTGTTAGAGAGCCCTGGTTTGGAGATCAGAAGAGTGACTTTCTAGTTTTGCAACCCCACTGTGTGAGCTCCCCTCCCCTGCTTGGGCCTCAGTTTCTCTCTCTGTAAATAAAGAGTTGAAATGTTGGCTCTGATTCCTTTTGGCTTTGACTTTGTTGGAAACCATGTCTTAGCTACCCTGGGTATCAAGTTCTTTTTTTTTTAAAGCTTTGTTTATTTATTTGAAAGTCAGAATTATCTAGAGAGAGAGGGAGAGACAGAGAGGTCTTCCATCTGCTGGTTTATTCCCCAAATGACCACAACAGCCAGGGTTGGGTCAGGCTGAAGCCAGGGGCCAGGAGCTCTATCCCAGTCTCCCTCGTAGGTGCAGGGGCCCAACCATTTAGGCCATCTTCCATTGCTTTCCCAGGCACATTAGCAGGGAACTGGATCAGAAGTGGAGCAGCCAGGGCATGAACCAGCACTCACCCTGTGTCACTAAGGCAAACTTAAGTATGGGAAATTTGTGTTCCCTGTGGCTGGAAGAAATCCTGAGAGCCTTGGCCTGTGATGCCCCCACCTCAAATCTCCTTCTTCCCATTCTGGTCTTCAGTAGAAAGAAGCCTGAGACCTGAACTTCACACACTGGACCTGGGATCCCCATGCTTACCGGCAGCCTGGTTTTCTTTGTCAAGTCCGCAGGAGTGTAGATATTCAGGTAAAGACAGTCTTCCGAATACACGAGAGAAACGTTCTCCAGTCTGTTAGCAAAGACTTCTGAGAGCACTGGCCCTGACCCTGTGATTTGGGAGCACCTGTTGAGGGAGAAAAAGAATCCCTGAGGTACAACCAGACCTGAGCAAGGCGACTTCTTGGTTCAGGCTAGGCCTGGACTGGGAGGTGGAAGGCTGTAATGGAGTTGCTACCGCCAGACTTGAGGTAGGGGGATGAGTAGGTTATCTGGGGTGGTTCAGGTGGGGTTTTGCAACTCACACAGGCCTCCAAAGACCCTGCACCATGAGAAGGCCTTGGCACCATTCTCTCCAGGACATTATGGACACTCTGGACTAAGAAGAGGAGGATGCCCGTACACTGACCTTCCCTGGGAGATGTACTTCCTGCACCTCCAGGATGGGGCCCCGCTCTCCTCTCAGCTCCTCACGGTGGACTGCAGGGTGCAGCTCCCCCTAGCTGTAAGACTTGTAGTCCATGCTAGCCTTCTATAAACCGTGAGGGTCACCCAGGTGGCAGACACATACAGCCTGCAGCAGCAGGTCAGGGCTGACATCTCCATGGGACAACCTCAGGAGAGATTCATTCCAGTCCCATCTCTGCCACTAATTCACTGGGTGACCTTAGATGAGCTCCTTTCCTACATTCAGTCCCAGATCTTATTGAGGGGATTTCTCTAAAACCTAACAGAACCCAAGACCCAGGAGGGTAATTTCAAGAGTGCAGATTCACACTCAGCTGGCAGACCTGCTGACTGCGCTCCCATGTTCAAGCCCAGCAATGGCCCTCTTCTCCAAGAGACTTGGTTGTTACAGCTCTGTTTGGCCTGAGATGCAACAAGACCCTTGCCAATGAGTCTAGGAGGAATTGTGCACACCAGTGCTTGATCAGAGGGGCTTAACAGCCCACCAACAAAGGCCTTTCCAGAAGGCTTACAAGTTGACTCATGGCTCAACTCCAGTTCCCCTTAGCTAAGGTCTCATCTGTGGACTGCTTACAGTCCTAATCTTTAGGACCCAGAGCCTCATCTACATCCTGTGGCCCAGAAGTCTAAGCCTCCACGATGGACTTCAGCTCGCAGCAGATCCAAGGCTACCCAGGCTGAGTATGGGCCCCACTTACTGCAGTCTGCAAACGCTCTCCTCTTGGGAGATACATGCCTATTTGAGACGATATGATGGGCTCACCAACCTCTGTCGCACAACAGATTCTGAAAGAGCATTAGAGCTGGTCCTTTTTTCTGTAATCAAGGAGATAGCACAGGGGAACGTGCACCTGTCTGAACCAACACGATGGCTTCACCAGCACCTCTATCCCAGCAGAACCCAGTGTCGGCTCCAGATTCTCTCTGTATTTAGGAAGCAGTCCTCCATGGTGCAGAACTGCTGGGGACACACCCACCTGGCCAGTGAGCTGAGTCTGGACTCAGGTCTCCGACAAACTTTCCCGCATGGCCCAGGTTCCTGAGTTTTCCTAAGGTCCATCTGGGCTGGAGAGCTGTCAACCTTAAAGACCTTGTGAGGCTTTTGGGAAACCTGGGATTAGAGACTGCAGTGCCGAGATGATTGCTGTGGTCGTGGGCTCATGTGAGTTGTGACGTGTCATGTGACACACTGAAGATCTGAAATGCCACTGATGAAGGACGAGCACACACCAGATTAGGAACTCTGAGACAAGTTAATCTCTCAGCATGCAGACATCAGCACACCCACAGCATCAAGAATGTTCAGGGACACCAGCCCTCATGAAACAGACAGAATAAGATGCTGGAGACTGACATCAGAGTGATGGAGATGAATGATCAGACAACAGTTCAAACCAGCTCTTTCAGGAAGCTCAATGAACTTCATGAAAAGCAAAAAAAACAAAACAAAAAAAAACCAGAAATAATTCAAAATTCATTATAGAATTTTGATTGATTGAAATATTAAAAAACGGAAATCTACACGCTAAAAAATACAATGAATAAAACATGTAATCCGGAGCATTAACAGCCAAGTTGACCAAAGAAAAGAATCAGTGAATTCAAAGACAAGCTATTTTAAAACACACAGAGCAGTAGACACACACACACACACACACAAAGGAATGAGGAAAATGCATAGGACCTGTTGAACAACAACTACAGAGAAAATATCTGGAAATATCTGGGCTGCTGAAGTTCAAGAGGCAGTTGAAAAAGACAGGGAAGTTGAAGGTATATTCAAAGTAGCAACAGAGAATGTTCAGAACCTGGAGATGCAAATATCCAGGTACAAAGAGGTGAAAGGTGACCCATCAGATTGAACCCACTAAGACTACCCCAAGATATATAATCAAAGCTTCAGATATAGAAAACAAAGAGAGGACCTAAAACTAGCGAGAAAAAAAAAAAGCAAATAACATGTCAGGAAGTTCTCATATGACTTGGCAGAAAGCTTGCAGCCGGCAAGAGCGAGACGATAGACTCGGAGCACTGAAGGAAGACACTTTCTGCACAGCAAGGCTGTCCTTCAGAAATGGAGAGAGACTCCCCAGAAAAACAAAAGCTGAAAGATTTGTCTCACCAGACCTGCTCTGCAAGAAATGCTACAAGCGATTTCTTCAAACTGAAGAAAACAAACACTGAAGTGTCACGAGGACACATCTGAAGGTATAAAACGAGCCCGTAAAAATATAGAAACTACAATTACTCTAACACTCTAATACTGTAATCATGCTATGAAAACCACTTATATCTTTAGCATAAAGATGAACATAGAGGGGGCCAGCATTGTGGCACAGCGGGTTAAGCTGCCGCCTGTGATGCTGGCATCCCACGCGAGAACAGGTTTGAGTCCTGACTGCTCCACTTACGATCATGCTGCTTGCTAATGTGCCAGGGAACACAGCAGAAGATGACCCAAGTACTTGGGTCCCTGTCACCCACATGGGAGACCCAGATGGAGTTCCTGGCTTCTGGCTTCAACTTGGCCCAGCCATATAAAAATATTTAAGATAAAAATAACCGCGTTAATTTTTTAATGAAAGGCAATATAAAAAGATGAAAAAATGAAATCAAAAATTAAAAATGTAGGGAGAATTGGAGTTAAATAGTAGAATTTTGTTCATTTCATTACTTCCTGAAGTTCAGTTGTAAACTCTCTAAAATAACTTATTGTAACTATAATGTTTATTGTAAACCTCAAACTAACAACCAAGCAAAAGGTCATAATATATACACTAGAAGTAAAAGGAAGAAATAAAAACATACTATAGAGAAAACCATACAACTATCAAGGAAGAAAAAATGCTTGATAAATAGAAAACATGTAACAAAATAGCAGGAGTAAGTCTTTGACTGTTAATGATTACCTTGAATGCAAAGTAAATTATCCGAATGAATGACTCAAGGTGACAGGATGGATTAAAAAGCAAGACACTGGAGCTGGTGTGTGGTGCAGCTGGTTAAGCAACCCCTTGCAATGCCAGCAGCCCTGTGTGGGTCCCAGTCGCTCAGCTTCCAGTCTAACTCCCTGCTACACTGGGAAAGTGGTGGAGGACGGCTCAGGTACTCGCGTTCCTGTGATCCAGGAGGGAGACCCAGGTGAAGATCCTGGCCCCTGACTTTGGCCTTACACAGCCCTGGCTATTGCAGCCATCTGAGGAGTGAATCAGCGGATAGAAGATCTCTCTCTCTTTCTCTCTCTCTCTTCTCCTTTCCTCTCCCTCTACTCCCCCCCGCCTTATTGCTCTGCTTCTCTGGAATAAATAAATCTTAAAAGAGGGAGGAGGAGACGACTTGGGGTTGTTGCTGTGGCACATCAAGTTAAGCTGCTACCTGCAATGCTGGCATCCTGTAAGGTTGCTGGTTCGAGTCCCAGCTGCTCTGCTTCTGATCCAGCTCCCTGCTAATGTGCCTGGGAAAGCAGTGGAAGGTGGTCCAAGTGCTTAGGCCCCTGAACCCACGGGGAGGACCCAGAAGAGGGTCTGGGCGGCTGGCTTCATTGCAGCCATTGGGGAGTGAACCAGCAGATGGAAAAAAAAAATATATATATATATCCTTCTCATTCTTGCTCTGTCTCTCCTCATCTCTCTGTAACTATGTTTTTCAAATAAATAAAACAAAATCTTTAGAAAAACCTCAATTAGATATAGCCTACATTATACTATCTGTGAATATTATATATATGTATATATTTTTCCATTTTAAAGAGAAAAAATATTAAACAGGTAGAGACTGAAAAAAAAAAAAGTCCTAAAATATCAACAACTGCGGCTGGTGTTATGGTGAAGCAGGTTATGTCACCACCTGTGATACTGGCATCCCACATGAGCACTGGCTCCAGTCCCAGCTGTTCCACCTCCAGTCTAGCTCCTTGATAGCAGGCCTGGGAAAGCAGTGGGAGATGGTCCACATAGTTGGGCTCCTGACACCCACATACCAGGTCCGGATACAGTTCTAGGCTCCTGGCCTTGGCCTGGCCCAGCCCTGGCTGTTGCAGCCATTTAGGGTGTGAACCAGTAAGTAGAAGACCTCTCTCTCTCTCTCTCTCTCTGCCTTTCTAATAAATAAATAAACCTTTTAAAAATTACATAAAATATTAACAGCCTCTCTGCTGTGGCCAGGGAGTGCAGTGGAGGATGGCCCAGGTGCTTGGGCCCTGCACCCCATGAGAGACCAGGAAAAGCACCTGGCTCCTGGCTCCTGCCATCGGATCAGCGCGGTGCACCGGCCGCAGCGCACCGGCCGCGGCGGCCATTGGAGGGTGAACCAATGGCAAAAGGAAGACCTTTCTCTCTGTCTCTCTCTCTCACTGTCCACTCTGCCTGTCAAAAAAAAAAATATTAACAGCCAAGAAAATTACTGAGAAACATGATGTAAAATATTACAAACAATTCTCTCTGAGTCATGGCATTGCACATGGTCTTAATTTCCCTACCTTTTTCCTCTGCATTTCCTACATTTTGGTAATGAGTATGTATTATACTCTCCATCAGGAGGTAGCAACAGTAGATTATTTTTTAAAGAAATGGAAGAAAGAAGGCAATTGGAAGAATCCTGGTCAGAAAGGCCTTGCCGAGGAGATGAGTGAAGCTGACATGGATGCATGAAGTGTCAGCATCCTGGGTGTGTGGGGGTGGGGTGAGGGAGGAGCTTCGAGCTTTCATCCCCAGGAGATAAGGGTGACTGTGGCACACCAACCACTGCTCTGCTTGTGACCGGGTAGCTGGACACACGCGGCAGTGAGAACTCAAATCAAGCCTCGCCCCTTCACTCATCCCGCGGCACAATCTTGCAGAGGTCGAGAGAGGAGAAAAGTAGGACCATGACTTCTCAGCGCCCTCAGCTGGTCAAAGCTTTTATTCCCACACTCATCACAGTCTAAGGTTTTACAGGATTCATTCCATTTGTGCATTGCTTGGTATCTGTCTCCCCCTGCTGGAATGCAGGCTCCAGGAAGGGAGGATCTTTGGTCTATTCACCAGTGGATCCCAGTAACCTACACATGTCTAGCACATTAGGTGCTCCATAAAAGTATGTTGAACCAAGGGCTCTAGCATGCTGTGAGGTTTCTGGGATGCTCTTGGGGACCCTAGAACAAAGTGTAAGCCAACCAGAGGGTTGCCTTGACTCCTTCCTACAGCATCTCCCCTGAAAGATGCCAGTGCCAGCCCCGTGCACAGCTTACATGGGAGGGTAGGAGGTGGTGTTCTTCACGTGGCTCCATGGCTCTGCAGGCTGTGGTGGTGCAAACCTCAGGGATCCAAGAGGGGGTTTGGCGAAGGGGATTCCCAGGAAGACGGCCACGGGCTGTACAAATCCTTCTAAGCTGACGAACTTCCCCAGGACTTTGCCATGCACGGTATCTACCACAGGTGGTGCAGACTGGTGCCCTTCCCCTGATGGATATGGAGAGGAAGAGAGGACACATCAGAGGGGGGAGGTCTGACCTGGACTCCAGCTGGGTTTTTCCACATTGTAGGTAGATGACCTTGACTAAGTCAGCTAAATCCTCCAGGCCCGAGTTTCTCCTTGTGCGACTGAAGGATGAGGACTGCTTTAAGGAGCAATCTAGAATTGAGCATATGAAAGATCCATCCTAAGGTCAATGCCAGGAAGAGCTGTTGGCAGGAACAGAAGCTTCCGGAAACATCGACCCACTAGGACGCTGGTTCTGAACCACACGCTGGATGCGCAGTTGAGCAGGCATGTTGAACCTGGTGTGCGACCCCATGGAGGATGCCAGTGTGAGAGCTGAGAAAGAGGAAACTCAAGGACAGCGATGGTGAGGCTAGAAAATCCATCGGAGGGAGGAGGAGAATGTCACCACACCCTGGAAGCCCAGCAAGGAGGGAGGAGGCTGGGCAGAGGGCTGAGTGCATCAAAGTGGAGTGGCGGGGTGGGGAGCGGCGTCTGAGCCTGACCTGTAGGAGCCCGGTGATCACCTTCAGCAGGAGCCAGACTGCCCAGAGTGAAAAAGTGGGCAGACGCGGTGGGAGGCAACAATAGGAACAACGGGAACGTGCACCTGCTGAACAGACATCATGTGCCCGATGTGCATTCCTGTCCATTAAATACTGCTTGAAAAAGCTTTGCCTGGGGCCGGCGCCATGGCTCACTTGGTTAATCCTCTGCCTGTGGCACTGGCATCCCATATTGGTGCCGGTTCTAGTCCCAGTTGCTCCTCTTCCAGTCCAGCTCTCTGCTGTAGCCTGGGAGGGCAGTGGAAGATGGTCCGAGTGCTTGGGTCCCTGCACCCCCATGGGAGACCAGGAAGAGGCACCTGGCTCCTGGCTTCGGATCAGCACAGCGCCAGTCGTGGCAGCCATTTGGGGAGTGAACCAACGGAAGGAAGACCTTTCTCTCTCTCTCTCTCTCTCTCTCTCTCTCTCACTGTCTATAACTCTACCTGTCAAATAAAAAAGAAAAAGAAAAAGCCTTGCCAGCTAAGCATTATCAAATCAATTTTACAGATGAGGAAACTGAGAACATGGCAGCAGACTTTGTAAAGATGGGGACAAGAAGGCATTGCCTGGGGATAATCAGGAGTAAAGAAAAGCTCTACGCCAAATTTGTGTCCCTTCTTGTTGTTCCCTTAGGCCAAGTCCCAGGCCTCTCAGAGTGGCTCACCACCTAAAAGAAGATAAAAAAAATCCAAAATCAATTGAGGCCTGAGCTGTCAGGGCAGTGGGGGCTGGAACGCTGGCTCTGGATTCAGGAACCAGAGATAGACCGGGGACTGATGCTCCGGGAGGCGTCGGGCAGGTTCATGTCCCTCTGCGAGTCTCAGCTTCTCTGACTATAGGAGGGCACCAGTGTATTCCGAGGACCCATGCTGCACCCCTGTATTAACCATTGTATGTTTGATGCTCTGACCTTGCCAACCCTAGTGGAACTGTGTTGCCCAGGATCCAACAGACCCAGCACTCCCTCCCTGCCAGGCTCTCACACACAGGCCACCATTCCCTGCCTGATCACCCCGGAGCCAGGCACCGTACCGCCAGGGCAGACCCTGTGCCCGAATCTCCAGAAATGATGGCCACCGGCCAGTCTTAGCCTGCTTGACCTCCCTGCTTCTTCCTTCCAGCAGAAACCCTGGCATAGGCTCTCGCCCATGCTCCCCACCTTCCTCCTGACCTTGCCTGGGTCTTCCTCTTCCCTCCATGGTGAGACCACCCTCCCCCCACCCCACTGGGGTCTGCAAGTAGCAGATTATCTTCCAATGACTCTGTTGGCCTGTTTCTCAAATTTTCTACTCACACATGACATTCTAAGTCACCTTTATCCAAGACTTCAGACTTTCCTATTCTGCTGAGTCACTTAGCAGAATTCAGCTATGATGTGGGCCAATGGTCAGGGGGAAAACAACCTGCACTCTCTTCCTTCCTGGTATCTGGGCAGAACGGCCAGGCTGCCTGGCTCGGTGGCCCCAAGTCCAGAGGGCACTCACGGACCTGTCAGGGCATTGCTCACCTTGGCCCAGGACAAAGATTTCCAAACATGCCCCCTGATGTTTGCATTTCACAACTCACCACATGCCGTAGAGGTAGCCAGAGAGGTCAGGACCAGAGCACAGAGCCCCAGGCTGGAAGGCCCTGGGAGTTCTCTGTCCCTTTGAGGGGCCTTGCAGGTGCTGCCCCCGAGCCTGAGGCCTCGCCTCCACATCCTCACCACCACAGCTCCACGGGCTGATCATGAGATGCCAGGAAAGCTCTCCTTCCGAAGATCTCCAGGGACATCTGTGGAGAATCAAAGCCAGGCTCAATCATGGTTTACCCTCTTTTATCTTAAGAGTCCAGCTCAAACTCTCAAGTTACAGAAGCCACAAACTGGTACAACAAGTTCCTGCAGAAGGCTGCCTGCCTTGCAGGAGCCTAACCCTCGTGCACCACAAGCTTCCCAAAGGCGCCCATAGGGGAGCAGGTGCCTTTTGCTTAGGGACCCCCAGAACAAGCTTGACAAAGTCTAGGACCACTCAGTGCCCTGCCGTGCTCAGCCACATTACTCTTAGCCTCCCTGAGCTTGTGTTCCACGGGATCCTAGGCTCTCAGGTTCGGAAGCAATCTTAAACTTCATCCAGTCCCTGCCCAGTGGCCCAGCCTCCTGCCCCACACCTCCAGTGCCAGGAGCCCACAACCTTTCAAAGCAGACAGCTTTGTGGGAAGAGCTTCCCATGGTCCCCAGACTTCATCATTCGTCCGTTTGTCCATTCATCAGTCAGATGTTTAACGAAATTCCTGGCCCTTGACAGGTGAGTGTGCAAACGAGAAAAGAAAACACTGCAGATCTCCACCACCATCTCTGTGGCTTTTTCAGCAGTGGATTATGCCTTCTGTCCTTTAAAAAGGTCACACGGGAAAGGACAACGGCATATGTTACCCGTCTCCAATTTTAAACTATTTTGTGTGGTTTTCTTTTCCATCCACGTTGTACACTGTCTGGATGCCAAAAATAATACTAAAGAAAGCGCTAATTTTCCAAATTGCTCATCAAATTCTGCTCATAAACGCTCAGCATCAGATTAATGACTAAAGAAACGGACGCAGCCACACAAGGCAGACATTGGAGCAGATGTTAGGGAGAGCGCCTGGAAACTTGGCACGCACACAGGCCATACCGTTCAGATGCAGTGCTCCCTAAACAGGCTTGCGTCACACGGAGACTGGAGACATGGATTCCAGGTCCCATCATGAAAATCCCACTTCAGCTGGCCTGGGGAGTGGCCCGGCTGTTGGAACTTTGGGAAAACCCTGCAGGCGACTCTTCATACATCCCGATAGAAAACACTGAAGGAAGTGAAAAGAAAGAAGAAGAAAGAAAAAAGAAGATGCCAGGTGGCATTGGTGGCATTCTTACCCGAATGTCAACTTCACTCTCCAAAGCGGATGATGGTGTCTAGTGAGGAAGAAGGAAGGAAGAGGACCTGATACCTGGGAACTGAGAGATGTGTTCTCCATGGCTAGACACTTGCCCAAAGTGAAGTTATATTGGAGAAAGCTTGGATCGTGAGTGGTATATAAGTAATACATGCAATGCCGTTTTGTCATTTCATCTGGTAGTATTTTTTTTAACAATGAGTTGAATGGTACTTTGTAGCTGCTAGTTTTCCCAAATATCATTGTAGAACTTAGTCTTCGTCGGATGTCATTGGATTTCCAAATTGCTGACACGTGGCTTGGTCTCTGCTTATAGACCCATAAAGCACACCTCAGCTGATAATGAATGGAAGTTGGTGTATAAATATCCAGGCTTCTTCACTCCCCTTCAGTAACAACAGTGGGTTTGTTTTATGTCAGTTCCTATTGGTCTCTTGGGGACTAAACGCCAGTGTCCACTAGGAAACCTACTTGTAGCACGTCTGTTTTTGCTGTTTTCCTTTCCTTGCCTCTCTTCCACACATTTCTTTGGGGATTCCAGGGGTCACTCCCCAAAGTAATGATTGCTGCCAAATCTGTCTCAAGGACCACTTTTGGAGGGGGGTGCCAAACCCAAGACATCACAATGGACCCCTGATTCTGTCACTAGATGCATGTACATTGAGGACCATCCTGTCTTTGTTCCTTCCAATGCCTCTCTTTGTTCCTTCTAATATCCCCCTTTATCTGACATGAATAAAACCATACGAGTTTCTTTTTTCAGTACCCTATGTTATTTGCCTTCCTTTCACTTTTATGTCTACTAATCTATGTCCTTATGTTTAAAGTGCATTTCTGCCCAAGGTTGATTTAAAAGTCAAGATTGATGATTATACCCACACACAGACCGAGAAAGCATGAGCAGTTACACACATAAGTGAGGTCTCTGGAAGAGCTGGGAAGGTGTCTCAAGTGGGTGCACATTGCTAGAGAGAGCACAGACAAGCAGAGTGGCCGGGAGCTCTCAATAGGCTTAGGGATGGGCCATGGTAGATTTCTCCCCATTATGATTGACCACAGGCACCAAAGGAGGAAGCCCCCCAGGCTCTCTGATCAGCTTTTCCGGATAAGGGACAAGTGTTGGCAAGGAAGGGGCAAGGATTATCCCGCACTGAGTCCTGATTTGTTTCAGCGAATCTGATGATCTCTTAACTGGTGTGTTCAAAGTATTTTAATCTCGTGCAATTATCGATATGGTCGGATTAAATTCTGTCATTTTAGAAGCACTTTCCATGTGTTCGTGTGTTTTTTGTTATCTTTTTCCTGTTGGTTTGCTTGCTTTGGGACTTGGGATTTTTTTCATGACTCACTTTATCTCTGTTATTGGGTTATTACCTATAACACTTTAAAAAATCTTTAGTGGTTGTTTTGGGTATGCAATATACATCTTTGATTAATCACATGGCACCTGAAAACAATAAACACCTATTGCATGAAGTACATGGGCCTCACCCTAGTGTGCTTTAAATGGCTGCCTTCCATCTGTTGTTCAATTTTTGTCGCAAATTTTGTTGTGATTTATGCTCTAACTACAACTCACTGGCTTTTTTTTTTTACTTTAGACAGTGATTGAAAAATTTACTTTGAAATCTTACCTTTACCTTTATTTTAAAGATGTCCATAGTTCTCCATATCATCTCCATTTCATCTTTCCATAGATATTAATGCTTTGTTTTGGACCATATTTCTTCTTCTTGAAGAACTTTCTTTCCTGCAGAGTGGGTATACCTATAAAAGCAAGAAATTAAAGGGGAAAAAAGAGAAAGGAAAGAAAGAGGGGCATTCAAGGGAGGCAAGTATGGTTATCTTCTTGGAATTCTATCTATGGAATACATGAAATCTGTTATCTTTATATATTAATAAAAATTAAAGAATTTCCCAATTGCTCGCTTGAAAGTTCTTTCTATTTTTGAAAGATACTTTTCTGAGCAAGATGATGGAATAGTTACCTGTCACTCACATCCCTACCCCACCTTGCCCCCGAAATGGGACCGCATTAAAGAATGCTCAACTGTATTCAGGCAGGAGTGACTGAGGAAGGACATGAGAGAGAGCAGACAATTGGTGAAGTCCCTGTGGAGAGCAGAAGTCAATACAGCACTGTGGAGAGGAGAATGAGGCACCTGCCCCTGCCCCTGCTTCCCCTGCCAAGATTGGCTTGGAACCAGGACAGACCTTTACTCATGGGGAGAGATAAGCCAGAGACCTCCAAGAGTTCCCACCGCTGCTGTATACCATTTCACAGGGGACTCTCACGGCCTTCTCAGGTCCCAAACCCAGTTTGGTGAGTTTCCGAAGTTTATGTAGCTCTGTTGCTGGTACACTCCCAAGCCCGGTAGCTCAGCACTACCCGGAAGCTAGATCCCACTGTCATTCCACCTCACTCTCAGGAGTGGCTGCAGCACCCTGACCTTAGCTGCAGTAAAAATGACCTTAGCCTCTTCAAGCCTCAGCCAGGCGGAAAGGTTGAGACCTTAGCTTCCACACACACATGACCCCCATCTCCCAGGCAATAGGCGATTCACACTGAGAGGAAGCAGACGCAGCTGGCAACTCCTGTGTGCCTGGGTGTCGCTCCCCCTCTTCGTGGAGGAACGACACTAAACCCTGCGCTGTTCTTTTGTCTGCTCGGCCCTCCCTGGGTTTGCTGCTGGTTCTTCCCGAGTTGGCTACCGACCCTTCCACCTCCGTGGAAGGGCGGTTCCCCCTGCCACTTTCCCCAGTTCCATGGGGGAGCGGCACACTGCCGGCCGGCTCTCTCGGGGGCTGCTCAGATGTTCCTCAGGTGTTCCCCTTAGATGTTCCTGATGTATGTTGTCTCTCTCCTCCTTTATAGTCCGCTTCCACCAATCCCAACTCTGCTACCCACACGCTGAGTACGCTGCTCTCCAATCAGGAGCAGCTTCTGCAGCTTGTCAAGTTGGTGAGAGGCAGCTGCGTAGAAGCTGTTTACTCCTCTCCCAGCGCCATATTGTGGGAGAGCAGATGTATAGAATAAGTCTTAATTCCAGTAACAGTCTAGTCCGAGTTGCTCCCCACACCTGGGCCTGGCTCAACAACCAGACACACGTTGTCCTCCGTCCTACAGGAGAGCCTGCTGCACAGCCAGCTGTTAGCGTTCTCACACACCTGATCTCCCAGCCCATTAGTCATCCATGCGGGTCCCATCCCCAGGTGAGCCCACTTCACACCTGGAGGGCCTGCAACACCCATGTGCACCTGAGCCTGGACTGACAGAAGCTGGGTGAAGGCCTCCTTGTGACGAGCCTGTTTCACAGCCAGCTGGCCTGCAGCACCTGTGCCTGTCCACACCCATCCCAGTATTGATAGAGGCAGCCATCCAGGCCCAGCATAAACACGGCACGACGCATCAGTCAGACACCAGCAGCCTATGCCACTAATGCGACCCCAGACTTCACTGATGAGGGTTACAGCTGAAGAAACTTTATGGAGACCACACTACGGGGTCCACCTAAAATCTACGTTAGCACACAACACCTGACAAGCACATTCACACCCAGGAGAAGCTCAATTCATATCAGATAAATCAGACTTTGAGTTAAAAATTTTCAAAACAGAAAAGAATCAAGGTTAAAAATGGGAAACACTGTGCTTCTTAGGAAAAGCATTCAGGGGAGAAAACACCTCAAGTATGTTACTTTTCATCCTGCTCTTCCAATCAGGTCTGCTATGGCCATATTCTACACCATAGTAAGTTTTAAATTGGCCACATTTGTTGTTTCAGCAAGTTATGTAAAATGCTATAAATTATTATATGTTAAAGAATAAGAAGAGATCTAGGCTGGCGCCGCGGCTCACTAGGCTAATCCTCCGCCTGCGGCGCTGGCACACAGGGTTCTAGTCCCGGTCGGGGCGCTGGATTCTGTCCCAGTTGCTCCTCTTCCAGGCCAGCTCTCTGCTGTGGCCCGGGAGTGCAGTGGAGGATGGCCCAAGTGCTTGGGCCCTGCACCCCATGGGAGACCAGGAGAAGCATCTGGCTCCTGGCTTTGGATCAGCCTGGTGCGCTGGCTGCAGCGCGCCAGCCATTGTGACCACTGTGAGGTGAACCAACGGAAAAGGAAGACCTTTCTCTCTGTCTCTCTCTCTCACTGTCCACTCTGCCTGTAAAAAAAAAAAGAAGAAGAGATCTATACTTATGTTTTGTATATTTAAATTTAAATGCTTAGCTTTATTTTTTGTAGAGTACAGCATACTCTCATATTTCTGCATAATCATATTGATCAGATGTTTAAAATTATTTCAAATACTTCATTAAAATAATTATTTTATGAAAAAACAGAAAAGGAGGTCACTGTATATTGATAAGAAGTCAATTCAGCTAGAGGATATGACAGTTGTAAACATATAGACACCCAGCACCAGACCACCCAAATATATGAGCAAATCTTATCAGACCTGAAGGGAGAGGTACACCTTAATACAATAAGAGTCGGAGATTTCAGCACCCAACTTAGGCCAATGGCAGCTGTTGGATTAGATGCTCTATAGTGTAGTTTAATTCTGATATTTCTTTGAAGAACTTTGGAAATGGTACAAATATATGAAAATTAAGCAGCACGCTCCTAAACTGTCAATGAAGAAATGAAAAGAGAAATAAGAAAGTTCTTGAAACAAGATGGAAAAACAAAACACTAAAACCTAAGGATGACAGTATAAGCTATACACAGAGAGAAGTTTACAGAAATAAATGCCTACATCAAAAAATACAGATTTCAAATTTATTTATTTATTTATTTATTTATTTATTATTTCTTGACAGGCAGAGTTAGACAGTGAGAGAGAGACAGAGAGAAAGGTCTTCCTTTTTCCATCGGTTCACCCTCAAATGGCTGCTACGGCCGGCGCGCTGCACCAATCTGAAGCCAGGAGCCAGGTGCTTCCTCCTGGTCTCCCACGCGGGTGCAGGGCCCAAGCACTTGGGCCATCCTCCACTGCCTTCCATGCCACAGCAAAGAGCTGGCCTGGAAGAGGAGCAACCAGGACAGAATCCAGCGCCCCAACCGGGACTAGAACCCGGTGTGCCAGCGCTGCAGGCGGAAGATTAGCCTAGTGAGCTGTGGTGCCAGCCAGATTTCAAATTGACAACCTAATGATGCACCTCAAAGAAGTGAAAAGCAAGGACAAGCCAAAGCCAAAATTGGCAGAGTGAAAAACATAATAAAGATCAGAGAATAAATAAATTGAGACAAATAATACACAAGATTAATAAAGCAAAGTTGATTGGTTTCTGTTTTGTTTTGTTTTGAGTGGGAACACCTACACCTTGTATTCCATGGAGATGCAAAATGATGGCCTGTCGGGCAGAACCAAGTTTGATATGCTTTCGTTGAGAAGCTGTATTACTCATTTTGCAAAGTCTTCCCTATATCCTATGCCCTTTTTTTAAACTTTTAAAATTTATATATAGAAGAGGGACCAGTGCTGTGGTGCCGACATCCCATATGGGGTGTGTGTTCAAGTCCCAGCTGCTGCACTTCCTATCCAGCTCTCTGCTATGTCCTGGGAAAGCGGTGGAAGATGGCCCAAGTGTTTGGGCCCCTGCACCCACATGAGAGACCCAGAGGAGGCTCCTGGCTCCCGGCTTCAGATTGGCCCAGCTTCAGCCGTTGCAGCCCAGTTCACTGGGGAGCGAACTAGTGGATGGAAGACCGCTCTATCTCTTCCTCTTTCCATCTGTAACTACCTCTCAAGTAAATAAATAAATTTTTAAAAATTTATATAAAGAGAACAAATTTCATGTATTTCTTATATACAGTTTAAAGAGCATAATGATATTCCCACAATACTCTCCCTCACTCCCTCACTCCCACTCTCCCCCTTCCTTCTTTTGTTTTTCTTTTAATTTTCTCAATGACATACTTTCACTTTTCTTTATAATCACAAGCTTAACCTTCCACTAAATAAAGAATTCAACAAGTGGTAACCACTGTGAAGATAAATACTCAACAAACTTTTTGCTAGATTTAAAAAAGACAAGGTCCAAATGAACAGAGGTGGAAACGAGATCACAACTTATACCATAGAAATCACAAAAGATCATATTGGGAGTATTAGGAACAATCAACCATATACCAACAAACTGGAAAACC